CATGGTATTTTTTCCAGAGTACCGGGAAGGGACCAAGGGACCAAGGGACCAAGGGATGAAGAGAGCAAAAGGCCGAAGGCAAGCGAATCGCAGCGTTTTTGTCATTTTCTTTTTTTCCTTCAAGCTTTCAAGCATGGTATTTTTTCCAGAGTACAGGGAAGGGACCAAGGGACCAAGGGACCAAGGGATGAAGAGAGCAAAAGGCCGAAGGCAAGCGAATCGCAGCGTTTTTGTCATTTTCTTTTTTCCTTCAAGCTTTCAAGCATGGTATTTTTTCCAGAGTACAGGGAAGGGACCAAGGGACCAAGGGACCAAGGGATGAAGAGAGCAAAAGGCCGAAGGCAAGCGAATCGCAGCGTTTTTGTCATTTTCTTTTTTTCCTTCAAGCTTTCAAGCATGGTATTTTTTCCAGAGTACAGGGAAGGGACCAAGGGACCAAGGGACCAAGGGATGAAGAGAGCAAAAGGCCGAAGGCAAGCGAATCGCAGCGTTTTTTGTTTGTGTGCGATTCAAGAAGGGTATTTGTCAAAATACAGAACCTCCCCGCCCAAATTGGTTGAATGGTGGTTCTCTTTTTGATGTTTTTTTTACACCATGGTGCCCCTCAAAACAAGCACGCACACACACACACACCCTTTTGTCTTGTGGGGTCTCAATCTGTTGCAATTATTGCGGAGTTTTCAGATATTTTGAGTGGTGTTTTTTGCCACTTTTGGCTGGTGGTTGGTCTCCTCAAGTGAGGGTTTACGATCAGGGCTGGGAAGTAGGTTAGTTGCTCCCCACTTCTTTGATACCAGGAAACCTCGTCTTGTGAAGCATTACTCATGTAGGAGGCGTTCCATTGGTGGGGAATTCCTGCACCGCTGCTTAAGGTGGTTACATTTAGGGTACCCTTCGTGTGGTGTAAGGGAAAACTCAGCTGGACCCATTTGCTTCCCTTGTTCGGCAAATTTCGAGGGTCCCGGTTTTGATCGCTTCAATGCGAGTTGGCGGAGTTTAGCCGTGTTTTGTTTTTTTGTTTTTTGTTTTTTGAGGTTCAAGTGGGTGTTCCAACAAAGAAAGCCCAGATGGCAGGAACTTTCTCCGGAACCCTCCCTGAAAGCTGCCCCAAGTTGCTCGAGAGCCTATTTGGGCGAGACCCCCCATAGAGGTCCGTGTATGACCTGCTTAACTGTTTTTGAGAGAGTTGGGCTTCCATTTGGTGTTAGCTAGCAAAAACAACCACAAAGAGTTGTGTTCGGTGATTATTGCTTCTTTTTTGTGCCAAGTGACGCTTCCTCTTAAATCAACAGTTTCTTCTGCTTTCAGAAAGCTTCAGACGTTCTGTTCCTTCCACCAACAAGAACAGCCAAGCAAAGTGGGGCCTTTTTGCTGTGGTGTTTGTTCCCACAACTTCAGCCAACCAACACAACAAAGGGGGGGTCCTTTTTTTTTGTTTGCTTGTCATGATCTACCTTCGAATCCAACCACTTCACTGACCGGCCGACCGAGCGACCGACCAACCAAGCAAACCAAACCAAGCCCAACCCAACCCAGCCCAGCCCAGCCCAACCAACCAGCCAGCCAACCAACCAACCAACCAACCAACCAACCGCCCAACCAACTTACCGATCGACTGACCGACTGACTGACTGCCCGACCCACTCATCGACCGACCAACCAAGCAGCATCAACCAACCGACCAAACATTGGGTGCAGAACCTTTTCTCTGCGAGGTGCAGACCGCTTCCAAGAAGCTGGCCAAGCAGGAGAGGGTTGCTCCCTTGGCTATTCCAGAAGTTCTGGGGCTCCTTTTGGTCCCTTGTGTTTTCTTCAGTTTCCTTTGGTTTACTTAGGTTTAATTTGGATGTCTTTGATTTACTTTGACTTTTCTTGGCTTTCTTTTGACGCAAGTGGGCGTTTGGCGTACCGTACCCTCTTAGGGACAATCATGCAAGAAACACAAGAGGGCCCCAAACATGGTGATTCCCTTTTGGTCTCCTTACCAATTCCAAAAGGCACGCGGCTAGGTGTCCTTTTGTTTGCGTTTCCCGGCGACGCAGTCGACCGGCTTGTGCCAATGGGGATTTGCGAGCAACCCTGAGGTGACTTGGGTTTCTCTTGAAACTGAAAGAAACACAGGGACTGATCTGGGTCAATGTTTGGTAGCATTTGGGTGTCCTTTCTTTTGGTTGCAACCTTTTTTTTGTGGTTTTAAGGGAAAACCAAAAGGAACATCCACCCATTTGAAGGGTCTCCTAAAAAAAGGCACACCCATCTCAGTTGTGTCAACAAACAAATCGGAAGACCGTGTTCAATAAATGCTAGTTGAACTCGACCGAGTACAAGGCAGGGAGGCCCTAGAAGCAAATCAAGGGCAAGCGAATTCAAAGGGGTTGGGTTGATGAGCCCTTGTAAGGCCTCAAATAGGGCCAAGGCCAAATAACGGTGGAAGGTCGTTCGGCAAATCCATCGGCAGAAGTTGGCCAAAATCTGGCATGTGCCACAAATGAGTCCAAACTCCATTGTGGTCTGAATTCCCGAATGTTGGGAATGCGTCCAGTGGAAGGGCCCAGTGGGACAGGATTGAGGCTTCGTGAGTAATTACCCCCGAGCCTGAATGGTGTTGCTTCACACCACAAAGCAATGTCAAGCTTTTTATGCGGTACTCTCCCAGTTCAAAGGGGGCTCATGCCAACTCGTCACGTCCATACTAGTTGGATTTCAATTTTCCGGGAGGTCTTTGGCTCATCAACCCAAGCCCTTGACTGGGTAGCCGGGTAGCCGACGGGAAGCCTTCAGGAGTGCATTTTCCCGGTGGGCCTCCCGGAGCAGGGCTACTTCGACTGGGTGGATCAGTTCCTGCAGAAGAACCCGGGATACGTGGAGCTGAGCGACCGGAAGATCATCGCGCCACGGCCGGATCTGAGTGTAGGAGACGGATCTGAGGCGGGAGGTGTTTTGCCCGGTTGTTCTCGAAGGACCCTGCCCTTTTCCTGGGAAACAAATCAGGGCCTTTTGATTCTTTATGGGAGGGCTCAACAAAAGTCCCACATTGCCTACTAGAGGGTTGCAAAAAGCTAAAGTCACAAGCCTGGGAAGATGAAGGGTAGTAGGGGGCTAGAGATTTTTCAAGTTTGCTTAGGCCGAGATTGAGTTTGTTTGGAAGGGGTTGAGCTACAATCAAACAGTGGAAAGGCGAAGCTTAGTAGGGGACAGTTGCCACAAGCAGCGCCTTTTTTCCACTTTTTTCCCCTTTTTTTCTGAGCCTTGAAGAGCAAACGCCTCGGTTTTTTGGCGGGTGGGACAATCTACTTGGATGTGGTCACTACTCCTAGAAGGGTATACCGCAGGGGCGTTGTGGAAAATGGGACGGGTCGTTGGGGTCTATAGGTGCCACAAATTACAAGTGCCCCCAGACATACCGAATACGGAAAGGGTAGATAGCCATGCGGGCGTATACTAGAATCCCAAACATTGTGGTTTTCCTTTCTATTGTCTTTCAAACAAGGCGAAAAGGGGTACCCTGAAAAAGGACACCCTGATAGTCATACGCACCAGGTTTCAAGGAAACCGGGTACATGGCGAATTGTCCCCACATGCCCAGCTGTTGGTTATATAGGGAGCCTCTTGAAAACTGTTCGGATGGGCTTGTTGTAGATTCCACCTATTCTGCCCCTCGCTAATAATCTGTTCGTACCCTTCCAGGTCCACAAAAGGTACATCCACACCCTACCCGGAGGACCAGAAAAAAACACAAGCGGTTAAGTTGTACAGGTTTGTGGCCAATTGTTTTGTGGCTGGTTGAAACCTGTATTAGCCACAGCTCCGCAACCGAAAGAAACTACCGGATTAAAGGCGGCTTGGATTGGGCGTCATTCCAGGGTCACTTGATTGGCAGGTCGCTTGTGTGTTGCTATGGTCAACTTAGTCGGTCAACATGATTTGTGAAACTTGTTATTTTGTCGTCTATGTGTCTGCGGGTTGGCGGTTTGGAGATTCGACCCGCAGTTCCTTTCTTGCCACATGGATTAAACCACCAAACCATCAATTAGGGTAAGGTTATATTCAGTTAAAGCTCTGTTCACTGGAACAGTAAGGGTTCGCAAAATCTCCCAACATGCCGTATTTTCAGGGTAGAAGGCCAAGACTGGCCAGAATCAGTTCAACTCAGGTTGGGGCATCCGGGGGTTTATCCCCACTTCTGTGATACAAAGGAAGCTCCCCCTTTATCTTTGGGACGCCCTTTTTGTTGTACCACAGATTCGTGGATTCCATTTCAACCAGTGCCCTGGTTCAACTTGTGGGGAACGCCTAGGACTACTTCGAGGGAACTCCCAGCCTCAAGGATAGCTTCCGCGTTTTCCCTTGATCGGCCACAGGTCCAGCATTGCTAAAGGTCCTTTTGGTACAGTGGCACAGCGCTCCTTCGGGCCTGGAAAAAGCAGATCAAGCATCGAATGGCAGCCTGGGTCAACGGTGCAGAGAGTTGTTCTGCAGCTTCGAGGCGCACCTTCCCAAGCCTCAATTTTCTGGTGGACATTCTTGGTGGTTGTTGGGACACATTTTGCATTTTTGCTTGTTGTGGTTTAGTGGGGAATCCCCAATTGGCTGCTAAAATTATATATTTTTGCTTTCCTTGCAACATCAACCAAGCATTGATGTTGCTCCCAATCTCAGACTGTTCGCAGAGGCTTCTCAGAAGGGCTCAAAGGCGAGCCGTTATAGGCATGGAGGAACAACAAATGTAACGCTTTGAGGTGGGAGAGCAAAAGCGAAGGGTCATTTGTAGTGGCTTGCCTGGAGACCCAGAGAGTTTGTTCTTTTTGGTGAGGTCCAAGTTTTATTCAGCCCAGGAGTGGGCGTCTAAGAGCGGTCTCACCAACAAGGCTGGGCCTGGCTGAGGAGACTTGGGTCCGAAGATTTGGGACTGGACTCCTGGCTTGCGGTGCTGGTTCCGTTTTTGTTTTTTGTTTTTGGGGGCTATTGGGAAAGGGTGTTCTTTTTTTCTGCCTAGCCCTGGCACACTGGCAGGTGGTTGGTTGGTTGTTATTTTTTTTGGAGGGGCCTATTGTGACACATACCCGAATGCTCGTGAACCTTTAGGTCATGGCTTCGGGTCAACCACTAGAAGTCATGACCTAAAGGAGGCATGACCATGATTCAATGATCCGCGTCAGGGGAGTTCACTTTGGCACAAATTGTTGTTTGCCCTTAAATGTGTTGGACGCCTCCTGTTCCACTAAGACCCAGATATGTTTAACCCAAAAAGGGTTCCCTTTTTTCCACCAGAGTGAATGGGCAACTGGGTACATGAATGGCTCCGCCCCCAAAACTTGTGTGAGTCTTTTGGCTATATGCCACCCTTGGCTTTCAGCTTCAGCCTGTTGCTAGCGGAAGTTTTTCTGACCCATCGAATTCTCAAACTGTCGCGGAGGCAGCCAACGTTTGCCAACCAGATCGTCCTTCTGAAAAGCAGGATTCAAATCCCGCCTTTCGTTTCACACTCTTTGTGTTGTTTTTGTACCATGACTTTCAACTGGGAACCTTTTTTTTCTCTCACCTCCAAGCCCGGCCACAGGTGCGGAAGATGTAAAGGTTCCGGCTGGGCAAGCTGAAGTAAACCACGGGGAAGTGGCTGGGAAGACTTCCAGGAAGGTCTTGGTTTTGAGGTAAGTTTGTTTCGACCTGTTTGGGTTCATCAACCTGAGTCCCTTTCATCCCCTTAGGAACAACCCTTGCTGGAAACAAAAGACCTCAGGTGACGCGTTTAAGACCATTTTCAGCAGATATGTCCCTCCTTTGTTTTCCTTTTCCGCCATGCCCGGATTCGCAATCTTGGACCAACAACCACGGGGATATATATATATATATATGAATTCCCCACTTTACCCTGGGCTTTAAAGTACGTGCCTTGATTTGCCGCGGCTGAACATTTCTTCCGCGGCTTGCTTCTTCACTTCTTCCGCCTTTTTTCTTTTGCGGACGGTTTTGCCTCGCGGACGGGGCGCACGGGCAGGCCCGGAAGACCTCGGGGGACAAGCCGGAGCTGGGCTTCGGGGTCCCGGCGCTGGACGACGGCTCGGTGCAGCGGGTGCTGGCGGCGGTGGCCCCCGCCCTGGCGCGCTCCTTCGTGGTGCCGGAGCTCAAGGCGCCGTCGACTTTGGCGGCGAAGAGGAAACGAGACACGGGCGGGAAGAGAGGCGGAAACGGAAAGGAGGCGGAAACGGAAGGTTGTTGGTTTTTAATACACGCCAGTTTGGTGGCGTGCGAAGTTGGCCACCGGGTTTTGTGGGGCTAATTGCCCCAGAAGTGAACTGGGCGCGGCGATGGATTCCAAGGGTTGAAGCTTTTGTTTGGTGAAGGGCATCCGGCGCAGATGGCCCCTCTTAGCCGTGAAGCAGAAGAGGAAGAAGAGGTTCGAAGGAAACCGAATTTAGGACTTTTCCGAATTTAGGGCTCCGAGTTCCAGAACGCCCATTTTGGTCAAGGCCTTTGACTGGAATTTTGATTGCCGCAGGTCACCAGGGATTTCCCCTTCTAATCTTCAAGATTGTGGTTTCTTCTGGTCTGCTAAACAGAGTGACAACTGGATGCATAGGGATAGTCTTCTCGAAAACTTGTTTCTTAGCCCAGCGGGTGGTTTGCCCTCGTTACGCACTTTACCTTTTCTGGTTTTCAGGGAAGCACCCCGAAGTACCAACCATCCGTGGGTTCCTTGAAGGCACGACCAGGCTCATGTCCCATGAATTTGATTCCTATTGAGCCGCTCGCACCGGTCACAGGCCAACCTTGTGCCTGCCGAGCGCAAGGCGCGGGAGCGTTGGACGATCCCCTGCGCTGAGGGTGGAGCTTGTGGCGGTTGTCTGGTGCCGGTGCCACTTCTTGGTGTTCTCAACGTAGGGGACGTCTGGTGCCTCTTTGTAGCGCCCAGGAACCCGTAATTCTTATTACCGCGGGCTTTGGGGCTGAACACCGTATAACACACTCAGGTTATACTATGACACACAAAGGGCCCCGCCAAACAGGTTAGCCCTGAGAAGCTCTGGGAGTTGCATTAAACCTATGGGTTTGCCTGAAAATGAGACCCCGCACATGGCAGCGATTTCCTGTACTTTCACCTACATGTCCAATCCGTTGTGGCTCGTCAGCCCCAGATGTGGCGTTGTGAACAAATGCTTGTTTGGGACCCCATTGAACGAACCCTGCGATTCAATTCCTGACCCCAAACTGAGATGCAGGTTGCGGCTGGTTTCCAGCTCGACTCATTCGTTTGGCGGGGTTTTTAACATCACCTTGTGGTCTGCGAGTTTCCTTTGGGTTTGGGGTCCACCTTCACCCAGGGTGAAATGGAGAACTAGGTCATTTGGAAGGTCTGCCATTGGTATCACAGTGGAAATGCAATTTCTCACACTGCTTTTGAACAATGGGTTTGGGACTGAAACAAACCCAGTGTTTCTTTCCCACGGATTCGGCTCCAAACTCGGGCACCAAATCCTTGGCTTCTTTTGGTTGCGCTAGGCCAACCAACATGAAGGTTCGCCCCCAAACACATCAGACATTTCCTGAAAACCGCCAAGTCTTTGCTGAAGCAACCCTAGCCTTCCGCATGGTCTCTACGGTTTCCCCGAAAAAACGCCCACCAGGGCCAACGCCTCCAAGAACCGCCTTCATGGGACTCCCCAGCCTTCGGTGCGTGGAACGGAGCCGCGGAACGGAGCCGCAGGCCTTCCTCACCAAGTTCGTGCCGCAGGACTTCGCGCGGAAGGCGGTGGTTCTCATGGGGGAGCCCACCAAGGACCCACCCGGGAGCCGACCGGATGCGCGCACTCGCGTGTGCGCGCGAGTTGGAGTTGCGGGTGTGCCGTGTTGTTTTTTCTTTTTCTCGAGATCGAAGACGTGAAGGTTTTTCAAGACTTGGAGATCCAGTTCTTAGTCCAGGTTTTGGAATTTCAAGAATTGCCGACAGGTTGCTCAGGGAAAGACTTGAGTGCCGTGTGCACGTGGACTCTCTCCCAATTGGCCCTGGTTTGTGGATGGTTTACTGAGAAACCCACCCTTCTTGCACCATAGCTTCAGAATACCGACATGTAGTGTGGCTTGGGGCCCATCCCGGATGCAAGCATGTGCTTTTGTAGTCATAATCCCTCTTTTTCTGAGTTATAGTATATTGATTGCCGTACCCAACCGAAGCTACCGGTGGCATAGACTGCCAGGACTAGCAGTCACCATCTAAAGGGTGTATGCCTGATTTCACCAGGGGGTACTGGTTCGGGCGCAGTGGGAAGCCAATATTGCTTGAGGAGTACAAGGACAAGATCCAGGCGCTCATGCTGGAACAGAAGACCGTGAAGGCATCGGCCGGGGAGCATGCGTCTGTCTTCATGACCCGAGCACCACGGAAAGTGGTTGGACATGATTCCCCAGGTGAAAATGAGGTCCGCCAAGGGGTTCTTAACCTCCGGGATCTTCTTCTTTTTTTTATTCTTAAGGTCCGCTGGACCGGGCCCCACACAATTCAGCCTCATGTCTTGGGTCTTTTGGAGACTTTAAGTGCCCGTCTTTGGTGCCTCACGCGCTCCGCAGCCTTCACCAAGGGAGATGTTGGGATCTTCCCTGTTAGGGTTGTGTGTGTGGGATCTCAAGCTGGAATTTCGCGGGCTCCTGTTTGTTCTTGTCCTGAATCCATTCAAGTGAGATGATGGTTATCCGTCGGGACTTTTGCCTGTGTCTTTCAGTAGAGGTGTCCCCTGGTCGCCTACGAAAGCACTATAGTTCCTTTGCAGTGCAGGTTCAATGCGACTTGCCCACTCAGTCGTTTTTGTCCTAAAGGATCTGTCAAGACAAAAAGGGGCTTGCAGAAGGGGTTGCACTTTTTGCAATAGAAACGCTCCTGGCACGCCCAACACGGGTCCCAGCTTTCCCAGCCCTCGGACAACTGACATCGACTTTGATTTCCACTTGAGGCTGAGGCCGAGAGGAAGCGCAAGGTCCAAGAGGACGAGAGGAAGAGGCTGATGGAGCTGAAGAAGAAGCTTGCAAGGCAATGCAGTCTCGCTAGGAGTTCTAATTTGGGGTTTCCCGGAAATTCATAATTATCCACCGGGATCGCGTTTCATATGAGCCGAGGCTAAGTTCGGAGCCGGAGCCAACAGCTTCATGCCGTACCATGCCCGTTGATTCCTTTAGAGTTGCTGGAGCATGTCCAGACGGTATGTAAGGTTCTTGGCTCTTGGAACTTGCAATGTATGATGGTTTCGTTTTTCTACGCAACCGTAGGGGGAAGTACGATGTATTTGTTTCTCGGGAGATCCAAGTGAAACCGGGAAGCTTACCGACATGTGTTGGAAACCCGGAACCGCTTTGTTTTGTAGGTTGCATGTCATTGAACCCCTCTTGGGAATATGGGTTTCTAGCTGACGACCTACACGAACCAAACGGTTGCTGGGTCTCCTCCGAAAATATGTTACAACCTGCTTGCAACCTGGGTAACCCTACTAACTTGGAACGAACACCCAAGCACCCCCCAACCCCGACCCTTCTCCTCCCCCCCCCGCCGACCCACCCCGCCAGCCCGCTACCCGCCCCCCCCTCTCCGCCCCCCCCAACCAACCAATAAGAGACCCACACAGTCGTAACTTCCCCTGACCCAAACCATAATCTGCTGAAGGCACCCCTTCTCATATTTTTTTGGATATGGCCATGGCTCAAAACCAATGGTACCATTTTGGGAGAGGTGTGCCACCCATTTTAGAACCTATTTTAGAGCGGATTGGGATGTTCACTGGGGGTACGGGCGTTTTGACCCATGGTATATCAAAATGAAGCCATACGAATAATTGTTGGATTGACTAAAGTGTGGAACACTCTATTTACAACATGTTTTTTGTTTTCCGGTCTAGAGACTCGGGCCAGAGAAGACACTCCCCGACAGTTTGCTGAGGAAGAAGGCCATGGAGGCGAGGATGGCCAAGGAGAAGGACTCCAAGGAGGCCGAAGAGGCCAAGCCCGAGGAGCCGATCGATCCCATCGGATCCCATCGGATCCCATCGGATCCCATCGGATCCCCATGGCTTGCCCACGCGGACGAAGCCGGCGCGTCGTGGAGATGGTTTTTGTTTTGTTTTTTCCGCCTTCTTGGACTTTTGTTGTTTTGTTTTGGGAAGCGTCCAACAACGCCAACCCTTTGAGTTGCCGCATTTCCTCGAGTCTTTTCGGGTCTGAGGGCTTCTTTCCGACTGGCGAGGCGGGTACAATTGATGGTTTGATTGGGTGATGTTTAGAGGGGACATACGTGCCATGGTCGTGACCATGACCGACGCACGTATGGCGTTTTGACCACAGGGGCTCCCTTCTTTTCTGCGAAGCATCCAAACAGAGCACGGCGCCCTGCATTGAAACCTTCGTGTGGGCCGTTTGATCATATGCTTCGCCTGGATCCGAAGCCATCAGAATGGTCGTGTGGACCCCTTCACGTGGTAGGGGTGGTCATAACCCTGGGAGTTTGGACGACCACGAAGGTTCCGGTTAGAAAACAAAACGGCCATGTGCCTCATGGCTTTGGCTGAGTGAGGGGACCCCTTCTTGTTTTCCAGAAGTGGAAAACTCACCACCAGCCCATGCTCAAAGGGTCCAACGAAGGCTCCCTCCCGGCCTTTTTAGCTACACACAGCTGCGCTTTGGGCTTGTTGCTCAGCCCATGGGAACAGCACGGCGCCTTTTGGAGTGACGGTTTGACGTGCTCGAGTTCTCTGAAAAGAAGGTGGCCTGGAAGGTGCCCTTTCCGCCCCTGGACCGAGTTTTTATTTTTGAACTCAGCTACAAGACTTCAGCGGCGGCCTTCGAGGAGGCGGAGGACGTGAAGATGGAGGAGGAGCCCTTGGTCGTGGAGCTCACAGAGGTGGGGTCGACCGCTTTGGGGGGCTTTAAAGGGAGGCAGAAGGACACTGTGGCCATTTTCGGGCGTTTGGTTTCCTGTAGCTTGCGGGTTCTCAGTGTGGTTCTTGGGTTTCGGGGCAGAGTTTGTCCAGAGATCAGCATCCCTGACCCATAGACAAATCAACATCTTCGGTCAGTTCTTGGCCCGTGGGAATGTGCAACCCAATGGGAAGCCTCAGGTTTGGTGCACTTGAACCAAAGGGCTGCATCGTGTTTGCCCCTTGTGTTGAGTCAGTGTCTTGGAGGGTTGTCGCCCTGCTCAGCTTGAAAGGGAAACAAAAGGGCGTCGTTTTCACAGCGGTCCAAACTTGAGACCAGGGTTGGCCCAAGCCGGTTGTTTGCCCTTCCATCGACCCAACATGGAGCTGGTTTTCGGTGACACCCTGGAGTCTTGTTTGTTTGGTGGGTCCGGGATCCGCTAATTCTTGGAATCACTCACAAAACTGTGGTTTCCTTCAAAGCTATTCTATATTTTAGAGCAGACTGAATGTGATCCATAGTCTGAACGTGCCAGTTTCTGTGAACAACTGGGAAAGAGGGGTCAGCTTTCGGTCCTTTTTCATGTGAGGGCCATGAACGTTGGCGAACCACTCGGAAGTATGCCACGACCAGCTGCGCAAATTTCTTCACGCCTCACAAAGGTTGGTTTTTTTCACGCCTCGCAAATTTTACCTTCTTTTGCTTGCTGGTAGGACATATGGTCCGTCGAGCACCCAAGCTAGCAAATAGGTTATAGCCAGGGTTACAAGGGGACAATCACCCGTCAGTGGCCGTGGTTGTAACCTACTTCTCTGACCTTGAGCATCCAAGCCTTCAAAAGTGGTGTGGGGGGTGGCGTGCCCTGCACGCCTTCGTGGCGCAGGAAGAGAAGGCCATGGCTCATCGCAAGATGGAGGCTGGTCAGTTCAGGGGATTCCGGGCGCAGGTGTCAAACAAATAGGGATTTGGACCCCCAAAACAATGGATTTCGGTTTCCCTTTTTGCTGTCACTTTGAACAATCCCCTTAAACGGGTATCCTCAAAAATGAGCAGCTCCCCTTGAAAACAGCCAGCAAGCAGAGATCCACCCTGTTGATTCTTACTACGAGGTGATTGGGACTTTAGTGCGAGGTTTTGATTGTGACTTACATCACCCCTTTCTCTTTGGTGATTTCTCTCCAAAAAGGATAAAGCATCCAGAATGAATTGGCCGATGATGCGCCTGTTGTTTGGGTATGATTCTTGGGGCGCCACTAGGGGCCGGGATTGTCCATTCGGTCATAACCCTTAGAGTGGTTTGGGCACTGGTCAATTCGGGGCTGCCCTTGAAGACTACCTTGGCGTAAAGAACAAATTGCCGGTTCAAGGTAGACTAACAAATGCGAATTTGTGAGTGTCTTTTGTTGTACCCCTTTGGGGTTGGTTTAAAGGGAATGGGGCCAACATGAGCCACGATCACAACTCGGGTAGATGACGGTTAGTAAGGCACGGTCCCAACCATAAGTGGGTGGTCGCCGCCTTTTCCATTCGTTCCATGGTTCTGGGCACACTGTTTTCATACCAGGCTTTGATTGTAACCCACAAATGCGGGAGGGTACCTCTTTTGCGGGTACCAACATTTGGGGGGTTGGTTTAAAGGGAATGGGGTAAACCACCCATGGGGGTTGCGAATCCCATCCAGAGACCCCTTTGTACCCCTTTCACTGGGTTGGTCGAAAGTTGAATGGGCAGGATATATTTCCCGTTTCGAGGCTCCGAATCCTGAGACAACTCTAGGGGTTGATTCCTGGTCCATTCTTTTCAACCATGGTTCTTTCCAAAAACCGGATCTGTTTCCCCTGGGTTGTTGATGGCTTCCTGAAAAGATTTGGATCCCTGCAAAGCATGGAAATGACAAGTACCCTACAACCGAAGCCCATTTTGAGGCTCCGAATCCGGAGACAACCCCAGGTTGCTGAACAGTTGCATGACCTTTTCCCATCTTCGTCTCCGAGTTTGGGCGGGAGGAGCTTTTCCCATTTTGCGACTCCGAGTCTCAGCCCATGGGGAAGGTAGCTTCTCACAAGCCCAGCCCTGCGCTGGGCCCATAGGTGCCGGACCTCACGGACCGTGACCTGGCCAAGTCCTACGCCTCCTTCGCGCTGCCCAGCAGCGAGGAGGGCTTCGACGAGGCGCCTCCGGCGATCTTTTTTTTTTCCTCCGGGTGCTTGGTGCGGGGAGGTCTGGGAGGTCTGGGGCCCAAAGCCCGGGGAGGTTTTTTGGGGCAAGGGAGGGATTTCCGTGTCCAAAGATTGGGACCCCCACTTTGTTTTGTTGGGTGCAGGGAGTCGGGTCACTTGCGCCTGGTTTGACCAGCTGCAGAAAATTTGATTTGACAAGCAAGAAGCGCGGAAGAAGCTGAGGAGCTTCTCCTCGACTTCAGTTTGAACACGTGAGAAAGCGGTGCTGTCATTAAAAACGCGCCTGCCTTGTTTGGGTCTTGGTTTCCTGTTGGTGTCCCAAGCCAAAAGTATCCAGGCGCCTTCAAGACAGGTGCACCCACATGGCCGGGGCTTAAGAAGAGCTAGGGCCACGCAAGTTTTAGTCTTTGGTTCCATTTACCCAGGCGCTATTTGGGCGGCCAAATGACTATGATCTTTTCATGGTTGGACTACCCTTGACAGCTCAACATGGTTGCTTGCATGAAGCCACCATTGTTTTCTGCGTTGAAAGGGTCCTAAGTTGAAAGAAATACGCGCATGTTCTCGACCAATGCTCCCAGTGTTGCTTCCATTTGGTTTGAGACGCCATCCCAAACAGGGTTGTTCAAATGGAGATGCGTCAAAACATGGACGGTATGGGTTTTGGGGATGCCTTGCAGGACGCTGTTGAACTGGCGGTATCAAATACTGTTACAGAAACCAGGCTCTGGAAGCTTGAAGGGTTGCCTGCTAATTATCAAGATGAACCCTCATACCCGGTTGGGCAGGCCTTGTGTGCTTACCTGCTGTAGCCAGGGAGCCTGGACCACGCCAAAGATCCCCCGTTAAGGCCTGTTTTGGCCTGACTTCCCTATCCTCAACTGTTGAGGGGATCAGTTTTCCCAACTGACCCTATTTCCAACAATCACAGGAACTGGCTCACAAAAGCAGAGAAGCCAAGCGAGGTGGGCGAGTGCAACTATTTTGCGAAACACTGCTATTTACTTATAATATATAGCTGCTGCCACTTGTACATATGTTCCTCCTACAGCTTCGGCATTTTGTCAGGTCAGCTTCGCGTGGTCCAAGGACTGTGAGAAGATCCTCAAGGAGTCTTGCCGTAAGCCGTCGGTTTCAGGACTACTTGGATGTTCAACCAGGCAAGCAGCTAAGTCAGCTAAGTGGGTTACAACCATGTCAATAATTGGTGTAGGGGTTAGTTCCCTAACTACTCACTTCCTGAGTTCATGAACTTTAAACCTTTTGGGAAGACCATTTTAGTGGTAACTTTAAAGCTTGGACTTTTTTTGGGCCATCCACTCAGCCAGTGAGACTAACGGCCACTAAGTTGGTTGAAGATCCAAGAACAGGCTGCTGGGCTCCCAGTTGGCCATGGTGGGTTACCACTCGGATTTCCGACTTGAGTTGGTACATGCTGGTTTCCCTTGGTCGCTGACTATAGTGCTAGCAACTCTTTCTCTTAGTTCCCTTAGTTTCCCTAGGTCACTTGCACCTGCTACGGGGTTGGTTCGGGCTCTCAAGCCCGAACCAAGTCATGCACTTTTGGACCATCATACATGAACTTGCTCTTGCCCCTTACGTCTTTTGCTCGAATCTGTTTGTTTGAGGCTCCTAGCTACCATCATGTCCAGTTGGGTTTTGAACTTGTCTTATTGGCCTTTTCATCAATCGATCGAACAGGTTGAGTACGCGAATCAACCAGATCCCTTTAAGTTTCCCTTTTCTGGTCTACTTTTGGTCGAGCTTCCAAAGCCCAAGGTCAGGGTATTCACCTCTTGACCTGTTCGTTACGTTCACCTTTTGCCGGGACCGTTAAACAGTTTATGTTGGCTTTGTTTGACTTCGCCTGGCTGCTGAATGGCCCATATTTTAGGGGTTTTCCCTCAAGGAGCACCCAAAGGGGGATGGGTATTTTGCAATTTGGGCACCCCGATACAGCACCCGGGTTTGCTTGTCAGCGTTGTGGCGTTTTGTCTGAGGATTGGGTTCTCTCCAAGAAGCTCACCTCGAGGGCGGAGGCCAGCGCTCTCAACTGAACGAATCTCGAAGTGTGTGGAGAGGGCGGGTTTAGCCTTGAGGTTCTCCCGGTGTCCGTTTTACCCCCCCCCCCCCACCCCCAGCCCCAAACCAAGAAAAAGGAAGTGAGTTTACCTCCGGCCAAAAAGCTTGACGGAAGTGAGGAACTGCTTCGAAGATCGAACAGCAAGTTTGTGTATCATGTCTGCTGTTTGCCAGGTTGACTTTCCAAAGTGAGCGCATCTTGGATGTTCATGACATGTTACGGAGGTAGGTCGAAATACGCACTTGGCGAACATATCATACAAAAATCATATATTATGCGTCTACCCGAAAGTTCACAACATTTGCCAATCAATTGCTAACACGTTTAGTTTGTTTGGTCTGTCGCTCAAATTGGGGGCCGCCAATTTGAATAGAGGCCGCTAGTCTCTAGCCTACTAATTTATAAGTTCCCTCTTTTGGGAGCCGTTTTATTTTAAGAGGCTTCTGGCCAAAGCTGAGGCTCGGTTTGCTTTTGGTCCAACCTTTGTGGCCATGGAACCATGGTCCAAACGGAAAATGGTCATGCAGAACCCATAGGTGTCCTGTTGATCGCTTAGTTCGGGCAGAAAAATCGAAGGCTTCCACTAGCTAAGACGGGATTTTGTTCACATTTGCCGGGGAAACCTATGTATTTGTACAAAGGATCTATGAGCCAGAACCCCAACCCACTCACTCACTCAAGTTCGCACGGGGCCTCTGTGGGCGCAGCTAGTTTATTGGGGGGCCTGCATTTGTCCAAAAGGTATGAACCAGAACCCGAAATAGAGGGCGTCCACTGGTTTAGATAGGGCCCATTTACCAGGTAATGAAACCCGTCCCTTGTCCAACCAGCTCAAAGAAAACCCGTTTGTGCTTAGATGAAAAGGTCCATGAACCACCCGGGTCACCCGGCCCGGCCCTCAGCTTTCACGAGCCGCCTGGGTGAGTTGGATCCGGCGCAGGACCTGGCGCCCGGCGTCGCCTTTAAGGAGGCCTGGCAGAAGTGGCAGAAGACCCAGCAGGCGCCAGCGCGAGCGGGCGAGCGGGCGAGCGGGAGGTTGCCGGAGGTTGGTCCAGAGGCGGTCGGGTTTGGCTTCTCCGTGAGACGCCCCTATCACTCTTTCGAGTTTGAAGAAACACCTCTTTTTTCGGAACTGGGGTTTTGTTTGGTAGGGACAGGTAGGCCGATTTTGGCCGAACTGCCTGGGCGCCCTCCGGTTTTTGGCACCTTGTCAGGAGTGGCGCCGGGCGCAGTCGGAGTGGAAGGACCCGGCCAAGCGCAAGGCCGCGGCAGCGCGGAAGGCGGCGGCGGAGAAGAAGAAGTTGGAGGAGGAGAAGAAGAAGCTCATGGAAGCAGGAGCTCAGGGAAACCAACCACCCGGGAAACCAACTAGCAGGGGAAATCAACTAGCAGGGGAAACCATGAGCTCATGGAAGCAGGCGCAGTACCGGTCGGTGGCGGTGAATAGACTCTGTAGGGCTTCTCTTTTTTGTTTTTTGAGGGGGAGCCCAGAAAAGGATTGGGCTCATGGCAGCAGGAGCTCAGGGAAACCAACTGGCAGGGATACAGGGGGAACCAGGGATACGGGAGGATTCCCCCTAAATGCGCCTTGACTAATCCCTCCGTATCCCCGCTCGTTCGTTTGTCCAAAGGAGCACCAGCCGCTTTTGTTTTTTGAGGGGGAGCCCAGAAAAGGGGGGGGTAGTGTTCCTGAATTGAACAAGAGGGGAGTTAGGAAGCTTATGCAAGGCGGGTTTGTTGAGCTGTTTGTTTCGCCCAGACATTCACCCGCCCTAGTGAGACCAAGAGACCCAAAATGGCGGGTTGGTAGGCTGAAGGATTATAGGGATCATGGAACAACGGAACGGAGGCGCCGCATCTTGCGGGTTTTGGTCTGGGCTTGTCTCTACATGGGATATGGAGCCCTGAAGTAGTGTGGTTTCCTCTTAGTTTTTCTTGAAAGCAAGCGACACCAATTTTGCCATATTTCTTTGGACCCCCTTCAAACGGACCCCAATAATCCTCTCTGGGAAAAAGGGAGACGCTCATGTTCCCCTGCAGGAGACGAGGACGCGGCCAAGGCGTTGGAGGAAGAGGCGAAAGCCAAGAAGGAGCGGCTCAGAAAATCGCTCAACATGAACACATCCCCGGCCCCCCCAAACCGACCGGTTTTTTAGAGGAAGCTCCTTTTTGCTTGGCTTCCATGTTACCATGGAGTCTGGGGCCTCCCCACCAATGATCTTCTGTCGGCTTCCACGTGGGGAAAAAAGTAATACGCACGCGGCGCAATAAATTTTGCGTTCGTAGGCTGGTCGCATTTGGACAACTAGCTCTCCTACAAAGGGCACCATGATATTGACTGGGCCACATTTAGATTAAGACGTGCATAAACCCTTACCATCCAGACAGAACCAATCGGGCTTTGGGTTCTGCCGAACCTTTCGGGAAAAGCACAAATAAGTCACTTCACCCTGATAAGTCCTTTCATACCAGTTACACTTTGGAATTCGCAGCTGGTATTCTGACAGAGGAAAGCCCTCAAGGTGTGCGGTTGCACTCCTCACATGGATCTCGCACAACCCTTTGGGGGCCCTTCAGAGTATCTGGCACAATTCCCCCATACCCACATAAGGAAAACATACGCCATCGAAGAATCTAGTTACTTTCACCCAGGTGTAATCCGCAGAGTATTTTGATATTCCACTACCATGTTGTCAGCCATTTTCGCGGGTTGTTGGCCTCAGGTAGCCCGAATGAATCCTTGCAAGGGAACCATGACCCACAGATCCGGAGTCTTGATCAGGGCTCATTCCACCACCATGCCCATCCGTCTCAAATTGACATGGAACCGCAAAAGGGTGTCCTTGACCAACAGGAAGTTTCCTTTGGACACACTGCTTGCCTGGGTTCACTGTTGTTGGCATGTTTTTAGGTTAGGGGGTCGCACAGGTCAACATTTGCTACTACCGTACCTGGACAATACCAAGGGTTGGACACTTTCCATTTATGTGTCTTCGTCAACTACCCTGCCCCACAAAAGCAAACCATCAGGGAGTTGCATTCCAACCCAAGTCTTGGAGAGGTCAAATTCTTCAGGAGCCAGTGGAGGTGGACTTCGAAGATCTGGACGTCATGGCAGTGACGGACATCGCAGACCTGGGCAACGGCCAGCCCCTCTTCGCCAACTTCGCCTATGAGGACGAGGGGACGAGGGCTGTTTCTCCTGAAATTCCCTGAATTTCCCTTCTTGGAAAGCTCCAGAGGGGTGGTTTCAAGGAACCCACCAGGATCTTCCAGTTGCTGAAATGACCGATTGTTGTGACTTTTTTACCTGGTTGTAAAGGGAGAATCAATTTTACTGGTGCGACAGGTAGGGAATGACCGTTCCGGGTATGGGGAATGAACCGTTTGGGGATTCCCTTAAAGGAAGCCACAAGGCCTGGTTCGTAGGGGTCATTCCCCTCAATTTCCGTTTGCTGAAATGACAATTTTTGTTATTGTCCCCTGGATTTTAGAGATGGAATGGATTTCACTACTGGACATGTTCGTTTTTTCTTTGGGTTATTTTCTTTTTTCCGGGGGGGCGTAAGTCAATTTCCTGTTTTGGGAGGCTCTAAAAGGGGTATAAAGGGGTAGTTTCAAGGGAACCCACCAGGAGTGTGCAACTTTGGGAGGGGTAATCCAGTGACCCCTGTAGCAGATTGAAGCGGAGAGATGTGAGATGAGGCGAGCGATGGGAAGGGTTTCTGGGATTCCAAATGAGCAGCGGTCAATATTTACTGTCCTCTACAGTAGTTAAGGGGCCGACATTGGGTTTTCTCACCAAACAAGTTACCAATAGAAAATTGGGAGGTTACTCACAAAATTCCCATGTCAAAGGGGCACACATTGAATATTGACCATCAGGTCAATATCCAAGATCCTCATGCCAGACAAAGGTGATTTCGCTTGTAGTCGTGTCCCAGTGCGAATTACGTGTTGGGATTAGGGATCCCCCTACTTGTGGACAGTCTTTGGAGAAGGATCTTCGGGGTTTCCCACATTGAGGCGGGGAGGGTGCTGGACGAATCAAAGGGCACCAAATCCATTTTCAGTAAAGTACGCTTTGATTCTTTATGGGAGCTGCAAAATGCCTCAATCTGCTTTGGAGCAACCTGTGTTAGGGAGCGTGGCTGCATTTGAGCAACGGGCGTGCTATTCTCAGGTTATTGGTTTTGGGCAGTCCGTTTCCCATCGGTATTGCAGGTTGAGCGGTGCCCTATCGGTTTCTGGCAAGAATGTTGCCAGGGATTCGATTGTTGCAAGTGAACCAACCAAACATCGCCTGGTTTCCCTTGGTTCTACCACAGCTGGCCCCATGATTTTACGTCACCCAAGTAGTAGGGTGAATGGACACACCCCGAGTTTGTGTTTTTCTCCAAAAAGCAGATGCCCCATAGCAAATCCTCCTTTGGCAGTCTGTCAGGGTTTCACTTCATACCTCAAAGAAAGTGAATATTTGGAGAAACCAGGATTTCCTTCCTTTTGGTTTTGAGTTTCTTCTTGGGCCTTTTTTGATTTCTGGTTTGACCTGTTTGCCCCCAACTGGAAGTTCCAGGCTGATTTTGTTTGGCCGAGAACAGAATGCCAGGACTGGACGCTGCTGTCCACCCGCTATGAGCTGCATGTGCTGCTGCACTCCTTCAAGAAGGACCCCGCCAGAATTTGTTCAGCGAATGCGAATGGGGGTCTCGCTTTCTGTGCAAACGGGGATATGGAACCAGGTTTCCCCGGAAGTGCAAGTCTAACATGGCCTGGGGGGTTGCGACGGGTTTCACTTTCCTTGCGCAGAACTTTGGACAATGAGGATCTTTCCCAGACCCCAATGACGTCTTTTGCCCCGAAGGATGCCATTTTTTCCAACAATCTTGGAACAGATGTTGGGGGCCTTTTCAAGTAGTCTTCCAAAATTCTGATCGTCCGCGTCCATGATTGGAAGCATGTATAGTCTGGTTAGACTTTGGTAGCAGGTTAGAAATTTGGGTCCCCGGAACAAAATCAGCTGCGGTGTGTAAAGGAACATTTGGGCTTGTGTGTTTTTTTGAGTGTACCCTTTTTGGTTTAAAGGGAAAATGACAGCTGCCATTTCGGGGTTCCGCTATTTTGACACATACCCATTAATTAGGCCGGCAAGTTGGTTCCACAGACCGTGGTTTTGCCTTTTCCTCCCTGGTCTCTGAGTCTCTTTGGTGACCAGACCTGGCGGAGATCAGTGACATCCCTCGTGCCAGGACCTGGACGACCCCGACCGTCCCAGCTTCTCAGATCCGTGGCTGCAAGGGCCTGCACAGAAGCCAATCCCTTGGGGAAAACACAGGGATACCCCGAAAAAGGCCATGCAGGGTACCCTGAAAGTCAACCAACATGTGATTCATTCACAACCGGTCTCATGATTAGCATGAGCAACATATTTCTACAGGTCCGTCATGTGGTTAAATGGCCATGTAGTCATTTGTATGCAATCAACAAATCCTGGATACTGTGTCCAGACTTTGCCTTCTTAAGTGTCGGGAGTAGTTCAAGAGCGTTCAAGCTGGTATCCAATCCATGCCTTGAAAGCACGGAGCTCCTAATTCTTTTCCGGGGGGCTGTTCATTGCAGAATTTCCACCGGGAGCCTTTCAACAGCGAACTCCAGTTGGAGCGCTCGCGCGAAGGCGATCGCTGCACTCCGTTGGGTTCAGTCTTGGAGTTCAACAAGGGGACCACCTTACGTGTGGTGTTTTTTTTGGATGGGATGGCTATGGGACCCACCGGAGAGTGAAGCCCATCTAATTCTCTATCGCTTGGGGTTGATTTGCTTGTAGACTAGGAGCCTTGGGTGAAGCACCTTGGCTTCTAGTACCATGCCCCTTGGGTTGTGGGCGAAGTGTATCCTCGCCTTTCTGGGCGGTCATCTTTGGAGAAGCACTTAGGCGTTTACTACCATCCCTTAATGTGTGTATTGTTTTTTTCTTTTTTAGGCTAGACCAAAGACCAACGACCCGGCGAATCTTGAGGAGAAGCATCTGGGGTTCTACTACCAGAAGTACTTCAAGAAGAGCTGGAACTTCTCCCTCTTTGGCCTTGAGAAGTTCGAGGACTTCCTGGACATCATTCGCGACACTTTGAGCGTGGAGAATGGCTTCCTCAAGGCGCATGGTTGTCGTTGGGAAACTTGTTTTTCCCATTTTTCATCTTATGGTGGTTTAGTGGTTGAACTCCAACCACTGAACTGCTAAAATTTGTTTGATTTGTTGCTCCCCAACCCCAACATCCACCAAGTCATAGGGGTGCCCGGATGTGGGGCCCGGTCCGATTTGTTGTCGAGGCGAAGGGTCCCCTTCTTCGGGTTTCACGGGTCCATTCGGAGTTGCAAGCCCATGAAGGGGAAGGGGTGCAAATGCAACCTCACTATCTCACCGAGATGTGTATTGCACCTGATCTCCGGCGGGGGAAGGTCTAAGCTTGAAGAGCTGTTGCAACATGTTGCAAAGGTCGTCACTCAAATCAAGTCTAGAATGGGGCTGCCAACGTAGGCTATGAGAGGCCCGTCTGACAGGTACGAGGTCCTTTCACTGAAGTATTTGTGGCCCTGGAGGTTGCACCATTGGTTTCCCTTCGTTTCGCTTTACGGACAGTTTTTTTTTGTTTGGAAGTTTCGACCAACTTGAACTGATCTAGGCCTTGAAAGTACCTGGATGGGTAAGGTTTGGAGTTGTCGAGGGTTCCTTTGCCAGGCGCCAAATATCGCCAAAGTCTTTGGAAAAGCATCTCGTTCATGGCTGTGAACAACATGTTCCTGAAGGGAATCCCCCTGAAAACGCTTAAAGCGACCCAGCAAACACAGGATGGGAGTCCCACTTTGCTACATTAAATAGAGAGTCAATTCGCACCATGCTCTCTCTCTCTCTCTCCCTCTCTCTCTTTCTGCGTTGTTCCAATAGTTTGGATTTTTGTTTTCGTGGTTAGAGGTGGGAAACCCCGTTTGCGAACAAGAACCAGGGGTTCAAATAAGCAGATACACCAAGAGATAGCCTCAAATCATTGCCAATACTACTACTATTCCCCGATAGTGACCGATAGCCTGAAATCATGATCAATACTATTCCCCTAACAGGGCTCCTTAAAAGATACATTTTGCAACCATGTGAAACATGTTGCTTTTTCAACACCAAAATCAAGTTGGAAACCGCCATTTACAAGTTGCAATGTTCAGGGGTATGATGCATCCGGATCCCTGAGTAAGGGACAATCAAATCATTGCCAATACTACTACTGTTCCCCTATGACCGATAGCCTGAAATCATGACCAATACTATTTCCCTCATGAGCAAAGATGGAAATTTCCGGTTCGCGCCATGACTCAGGCGGAGAAGCCCGAAGACACGCCCTTGGAGGACTTCGTGAAGTTCACCGAGGCGCGAAGCCGTCGGAAGCGGCGTCCGGCTTCGCGTGGGCCGGATGCGGAAAGGAAGAGGTAGGCGGAAGGGCCGTTCCTGTGGTTCCCCATTTTAGACCCTTTGATATTTTTTTTTTATGTTTAGTGTTTAGATTTAGAGCTGAACTTTTTGAAGTTTAGACTCAGACATCGGAGTTCCCGAGATTGACTACAGTTGACTTGTCCCGAGAAAGGACGAATCACGTGGTCTCATTCGTTAAAAGGAGCTCTGGTCGACTTTCGAACGAGCGTGGTTTTTGCACAGTTGTGAATAGAAATTAGACAGGTTAGAGGGATGTTTTACAAGTGCACAAGGTTTCGCGAGAATCAACGAACCACTGAGAACAGGTCCCAAGACCAAAACCACAATTCTCACTGGCGCTGCAATGGCATGCGGCAATGAACGGGGTTGCGATTTTGAAGAAGTCATTGGGAAGGGGCTTTTTCACAGTTTTCGCAGTTGAAAGGAATGCAACAACTTGGCATCTTGTGCCATGCGCTTTTCTCCCCGCATCTCGTGAAAGTCTTTGATCATCGGGTGGACCAGATGATAGTCGCTGCAAATGGGGCTTTGGGCTGCCACTGCAGTCTTTTTTGAACTATAGTTTTACATTTCAGGTTCACTAATCAGAGGACCAGAATCAAACTGATATTTCTGATGGGGAAACCCCGTTCAAGTGCCAATGTGGCAACGGGATGGGAATCAGCAAATTTGGCCACGCACAGAAAGGTGCAACCAATGTTTTTTTGTTTTAACGACCATCAGTCAGAGGGGCGGCAAGAGAAGCAGAACCAACAAGCCGTCACTTTTCGCATCCCAGGGTGCAGGAAGGGTACCATAGATTCACCATCTCGCTCGAGTTTCTGAACTTTGCACTGTTGTGGAAGACCAGCTTGGCTACAAATAAAACGCTTCTGCTCTTTTTGGCCATTCTGCTCAGGAAGTGAGTAGTATGCAAGCTGAGCTACTCCCCTTCAGATAAAGATGGAGACCAAAAGCGAGTCCATGTCCAGAAGAGTTTCTTTTACAACTGGGCGGGTTTTTCGGGCCCTTCCGTGGGGAGCCTCGTTGGTTTCGAGCCGAAATCAGGAGCACCGAAGGGAGCGGGAGCGGCGTGTGGACGCGGGCGACGAGACGGCCAAGCTGAAGTTCACCAGGTGAGCGGCATGGTGTCCAGGGTGCCAACTTTTACCGTTTCTTTTTTGGGGGGAAGGGTTCCCCTACTAAAATAGACAGAACAAATAGTTGGCACCCTTATTCTAACCTCTCTACTGGAGGACCTAGGTGTGATTGTCTTTACCCAGAGGCCCCTGAGGCTTTCAATGGAAGGCCCGACATGGCCCGACACCTCCAGTAGACACCCCGGAGCTGTTTGGGGTTTGAGGGCCCTAAATACATCGCGAGCCTCTGGGTAAGTGGTTGGACCCTTGTCCAAGCATTTTTGAAGGGTTCCGTAAAAAGAGTCATAGTCATTTGCGGGTTAATTGTGGTCTCTTTTCAGGGCTTCCTGGCCGGGTGATTCCCGAACAAGCAAGTTTCCAGTGGGTTTCCTTGTTTTTGTCCGTTTGGTCTTTCCCCTCCAACCAAGGTTAATCCCAAGAAAAACTATTTTCCAAAAAAGTCCTCTCCACATGAGAAGCAGGCAAATGTGTGGAGATCCGTCAATGTTCTTGCTTTTTCGTGGGGAGATGTCAACATGTTGACATGTTGAGCAGCTGACGGGCTATTGCAAGTTTGTGAGGACGAGAAAGAGTCCTCCCTTCAAATGTTCCACAAAAAGCTACCGGTGTATCCCCATTTCCTGGAGAAAAAACACGGTTTGAGGATTCCACCCGCTTTTTGTTTGGAGCCTAAGACCTACCCGACGACTGACTGGGTCTTGGGCCTTGTTTCGGGATGAGGCAAAAACCATCTTTGGAGCCTAGAGGATCCAAGATCCACGGATTCGGAGGTTGGGCCAAATCGTTTTTGAGGAATCCCAAACCCAAGAAAGGGGGGGGGAATTGGGGAATTGGGGAATTTGAATTTGCAGCTTGGGGAATCCAAAGGCCTTGATCAAGGCCGAATGGAAAAGGAGGGATGCCAAGTTGAGAGTGCAAGAAACCTTGGAAGCTTTGGGGAAAAAGGGGGCAACTCTGGAGCCCGGAATGTGCGATCCCCCGTTCCACGGCGTGATTTTTTTTCCGCCTTTCTTTCTAGCTGGCTTTTATTTTTTTAAAAAAAAAATGGTTCGCGGCCCAGGGGTTCTAACTTAGATGTTTTCCAGCAGAAAAAATCATAGCATGCGAAAGGAGCCCACCCGTCGGGTTCTCAATTTATGAGCTTCCTTTTGGTTTTTCGGTGATGTAGGGCACTGTTTCCCCATCCGGTTCATGCCAGGCCAGCTGTGCCCCGCCAGGCCGGGGGAGAGAAGCGGAGAGACGAAGGGTGTCCACTTCTCATTCGGGGGTTGAGAATTCACGTTGAATCGAATCAGAAACCAAAGTTCTCGGTGAAATCGAACGGGATTTCGCAACCAGTATGAGTGAACAGATGATTAATCTACACCCATGCTCGTGAAACAAGTGTTCAAACTAAGAACGGACAATTAGAGGCTCAGAGTGTCCCGCTCTCGGTGGCTCCTATTTTGTTCTTTCTTCCCCTCTCAGGAAGGCGCTCTCTGAGTGAAACCCGTTACGACTCTGTACCCCGTTTCAGTGAGCCCGTCAGGATGGCAAAGGCCCGGCCAAGGGCGCCGGCAAGGGCTCCGCAGGCGGGGGCTTTCTTGGGCGGCATTCTGGCTGAAGGTGCGATGTTTGGGGGGAGGCCGTGGCCTCTAGGGAATCCCCCGCATTTTGTGACATATCCAGGAAGATCTCTTTTTTTCCTGGGTTGGCAGGGCTCCTCCCCCCCATATTTTGACACATCCACATGAGTGAATGGTTGGCAATTTGGCGTACGAACTTAGAGCCGGGTGAACTCCACTTGGCAAGTTTTTTTCAGTGAGACACAACCCAGTTTGCCGACCACGTAGGCCTTTCTACTCTTGGGTTTTGGCCTGTGTCACCCATCTCTGCTTGAATCCCGCACCCCCAACAGCGTCCCTGAATGGATGCCAGCTGCCAGGTTAAAAGATCACTTTCAATGTCGGCACATGATTGATAAACCCCCTCTGATCAAAGACCCCCGATCTTTCCTTGTCGACCTTGAAGCCTGGTGGAAGTGATGCTCCAAATTGGCAGGGCCTGTATGTAGCTGGCAATGCCATGTCGGTGGCACGAAAAGGGATGCGTCTTCTTTGGGGGGAGCCCAAGTTTTGAGAGATTTTGAAGGGAAACCGAAAGGAAACCAACCGCTTTGCACCCCCCCCCCCCCGACGCAAAGTCCCATGTAGCTAGGCGAGCACAGCAATCGAAGGTCACTCGTTGGTGATTCCCGTGCATATGGATAAGGAGGCTAGGTTTTTTCCAGCAACGTGGGGTGACCAATAAACTACGTAAACTAGCGGTTTCTACCAGAGGGCTACCAGGTCACGCAAGCAGGGACTTATCAAATGGGGATAATTTTTTCCCACTTACTAAGTGGGGTGGTTATCCAAGTACCTACAATCTGAGTACCATTAGTTTGACATGATGTCCTCCCCCAGTTGCCTGCTACACTGGCATCTGTTTCTTGCGCAGGAGCCACCACGCCCCGAACCAGCTACGGCTCCTCCAGCTATGGCAACTCGGGCGGCGGCTACGGGGGCGGAAGCTCCTACCAAGGCGACGGGGCGAGGGCGCGCCAAAAAATCGCGAAGGTCAGCCATCAAACCCGGGCAAGTGAAGCTTAGCCTCACTTCCCGAGTTCCACTTCAAACTTTTTGAGCAGACCTTGTGAGTGGTCAGGGTTGTGGGATCAAGGGGTTCATCCCCACTGCTGTGATACTTTTGGGGGAATCCCCTTCTTTATAGGGGTCAGTCTTTGGGCCTTTTTCTGTATCACAGATTCGTGGATTCCATTTCAACCACAGCCCTGGTGGTAAAGAAGTTCAGACTTTTCCTGAACAATCCACTCAGGAAGTGAGTAGCCGGGGAGAGTCTCGAGCCAACGAGTGCAGCCGCCCTTTGTTTTGTTTGCATGGTTTTGGACCTTTGGACAGGCCCCAGCACCAGGTGTTGGCGTGACTCTGGTGTTGCGCGAAACACCTTATCTGTGGTGAAGGTGTAGTTGGGTTGCGGCTGGCACATGCCACATATTGTTTTGTTTGCCCATTGCTTGAAACCGAACAAATCTTGTGGATGGGCAAAATCCACTTGGCACCAGTTGGGATTCGCGTTTTATCAGTATTAATGTGGTTTATCCATCGCAAGTGCTGTATGATTTTGTCCGTCCATGTCAGGGGCTAAAGAATCAGAATGGGGTGGCGGAGTACTTTAAAGCCAAATGACAGGATCACAAGATAATCCAGTGTGTACGTGGTCTGCTATTCTCGACGCCGGATGAACCAAACCTGTGGATTAATCGGGGGGCGGAGGGGGGGGGTGGCGGTGTCGGCGATGTGAATATTTTCACAGGGAATCCTTCACTTGAGGCTCTTGAGGGAACACCCGCTGCGGGCTTAAATAACGCTCAGCAGGGAATGAGAAATGGAATGACCCCAAGAAAAACCAGCCAACTGGTGGTTTCCTTTAAGGAGACCCCCAGGTTCATTCCCAAATTCCCTACTGAGAACCAGCAAGTTAAATAACGAGTACCGGTATATACACCTGGCGATGACAACCAGAATGTGACCTGAAAGACCCGAAATCATCTTGGAAACTGAACGTGCTGAATAACTTGAATGGGTGTCTGTTTTCTGGAGGGTACACTTGGGTTGTTTCGGGGAAAACCAAAGGGAAATCACTCATGTGGTGGTTTCCTCAAAAAGAGACAAACCCACATGTTGTTATTGCCCCAAAAGGACATCAAGAGGTGCTAGACAATTTGTATCTTTTTTCAATCCACAAATGTTTCACCCACATGATACACCAGGGCCTAGTTTAGCACAATCTTGAGGAATGTTGGAACGCCTTCCAACCCTAAATGGTGCTGGCAGCTAGTGAGCTTATTCCCTTCAGGTCATACATGGTACTCTGGTCAGTTTCGGGCAACCCATTGGTGCATGGTTTGGAGTGAGGATTTGGGCTTGAACCCTGGTTCTTGAATAGATAGATACAATCAGTGTACATGAGGGCCTACCAAATACCCAAACAACCAAATGAGATTCCTCATTGCTTCCTCGTTTCGTCTTTGCTTTGCCAGGTGGCAGCTACTCCTCGCAGAAGCGGAGCTACACGCCATCCTCCTATCCTCCGGCCGGTGCCCAAATGGGGTTGATGGCAAGTAGGTGGCACACTTGTCTCATGTTGGTTTAGTCATCCCTTTTCCTTACCAGCTGCCAGGAATTATGTCAACCAACACCAAGGTGAAAGTAGGTTGCACAATTCCCAATTTATGCGTGTACGTAAGGGACTAAAGCAAAATGAGGGATCGAATTTGCCATCTATTTTTGGGTGTTGCACAGTTGGGCGAAAGATGAAATTTTGGTTCCTGGGCATCCCCAGTTTGTTGGGAATTGTGCACTTTCACCCTGGAACCCAATGCGACTCCCGAGGCCAAGCAGCCCCGAACCTCCTATGGCTCCTATGGAGGAGGCAACGGCGGTGCCAAAGGCGCCACACGAACGAACATCGACCACTTGGAAAATTGCCATTTGCGTCTCCAGCCGAAACTTTCCGAAAGAAATGAAGAAGGTGTGTGATGAAGCAAACTCACGGGTGCAAAACGACTCGACCTTTTCACCTTTTAAAGTTTCTCAACTTTGAGTTTAGTTTTGGTCAAGGCTCGAAAAGGTCAACCTTCTCTATTTCCAGGAGAGGTCATGGCTCCCCATTTCTGAAGGGTGAAAACGCTTCGGGTCAAAACCCCTCGCGGGCGAATTGGCTTGCCAGGTTGGTCGATCTGGGAACGTATTCCGGTTGCGAAACAGTGATGAAGGTTCCTTTCTTGCACAGGGTTCCTTAAAAGATACATTTTGCCCATTTGAATCATGGCTTTTTCCACCAAAACAAGGGGAAACCACCATTTACAAGGCAATGTTCAGGTGTATAATGTAAGGTTGCTTTCTTGCATACGGCTCGAGAAGGGGTGGGGGGGGGGATTGTGGTCTGGGGAGGATTTGTGGTTCTGGGGAGGGGTGGCTTTTTTTGCTGTTCCTTTGGGCTACTCAGGGCGACGGGTAGATGAAGGATAAAGGCTTTCCACCTTGTGGATTCTTGTACCTTGGTCCTTGTTGAATCGCACACATGGGCTTTCTGGGTTCATGAACACCCCCCATATTCTCTCAACACTGACTGCACAGCACACAGGAAGCCAGACCTGTTGGTGCACGCTTAAAAAGCTGGGCTTTTTGCTTGCCAATACACTCAGGAGCTGACATACTCATGCTAGGGATCAAATGGCGTTTTTGTGTGTTTGCTAGATCCAATTGGGTCTCTTTGGATCCTTGAATGCCGACCTTCAGACTTGTCAACCTCTGGAACCTTTGTGGTCTGCAGATAATGAACTGAGACCGCCGGTGCCCTTTCTTCCTTGCGCGTGTGCCTTCAAGCAACCCAAGAAGGCGCCAGTGGGCCGCTATCGCCCAAATTTCGGGGGGGCGGCCGAATCGCTAGGCGGCAGCTCCTACTACAACAGGAAGTGAGCGGTTGGCAGTTTTGGCGCCACACGACGCGGAAGACGGGAAGACCCACCTCTCTGTTTGGAATTTAAGGCAAACATCTAGGAATGGGTGCTGCAATCTGGTTTCATAGTTAGAGAGGTTACGCAAGTGGTTGAGTGCTGCTCAACTGGGCCAAGCTCAATATTTGTTCATAGTTGTTCTGCCTGCAACTGACAGAATGATCCCCAGGTTACAATTGCAAGTTGCTGAGTTTACCGAAAGTCATCCCGTTTGCTACTGTGGATGGCGATACACGTTTTGAGGTATGTAAATATACATATCATATACACGTTCGGGACAGAACGCAGCTACTGGAGAAGATCGGGCGCGGAAAAGTCAGTCAGCGGGGCTGCTCTAGCAGCGCGGAAGGGGGAGGGGGCCCATCGTGTAAGATAGGCTGGGCAATGGACCCAAGTTTGCCGCACAGGGATTTGACAATGACACTCGTGAGTTTGATGCGTCGGTCAATTTCTGTCGAGAAATCTTAAGAAGTCGTGCTAAAGCCCACAACGATATATAGGAACTCAGCAGTCGTGGCCAACACCGGCTTTCCGTAGCAACTTTTCACTTCCTGCACGGTTCTATGTTTAGGGCATGCGTCTAAGTAAGCTGGCACATTGTGTTAAAGACCGCTGAGATGGTGTTGCCCGTTGCAGGCCGAACATGGGTAATATTAAGAACAGCCTGAAACACCTAATCAACGCCACGACACAGAAACGTGTTGCCTTTCTACACTAAACGTGCCCTCATGAATGCATGCAGCAATAAATGGCTTGACCGCTTTGTGCGCAGCACAGCAACCAAACACAAGCAAGCAAGCTAGCCAGCAAGCCAGCAAGCCAGCAAGCCCTGGAGACAATTACCTTCAGCGGCGGAAGGAAAGAAAGTGCTTTTCCGGGGGAAACACAGGTGTTTGCGGTGTTTTCTTGTCGTTTTCGTCCTCGCGCCTCACCCCATTTGCCGCTCAACACATTAATTTCCCTCTAACATACTATATATGTATATGTAACTATGTAACAAGACTATCTTCTGTGATACAACGGAAAGGGCTTCCCAAAAACTATTGTGTTCGTATAAAGGGGGATTCCCTCGTATCACAGCAGTGGTTGGAGAAACCCCTTGATCCCACAGCCCTGCTGTTGCTCGGTAAACCCCTGGTCATTGCTGGAGCCCACTGAACAGCTCCAGCAACGACTTACGCGGCACGGGGGGGGGGGGGGCGAAAGACGATCAAACAAATCCCCTTCAACTGCAGGAAATGGGGGTTTGCACAAATAAATGCATAAATGAACAACAAACACTACAAGTCAATACGAAGAACAAATGAATAAACAAAAACTGAATACATATTCGAATGCATACTGGTAATTCCCCACAGCCCTGAGCAACAGGGTTCCATGCATGTTGCAGAACACAACTGAGATTCTACGCAATCCTTTGAGCCTTGGCGTTGTGCACAAATTTTGGAGATCTGGGCAAACTACCTTAAAGATTTGCGAGCTCCGTGAGTATTCAACCCTTATTTGGGTGTGACTTGTTCTGATTCCGACTCAAAGTAGTTTGGTCCCCTAGGACGTTTTCAAAAGCAACCAAAGGGACAGCTGCTATGGTTCATTCGAGGTGTGTGAATCCCAAAGTTCCGAATCTCATCGCTCCACTTCGCCAGACACCAGATCAGTTTGGCTAGAAGGGGATAGGTATTTGTGTTTCATCCATGGCGAGCCTCCATGTTGCTGTGAGCCGCAACTCAGGCTTCAAGATCACACACACACACACACAGCACGCGATTCGGATGGGTGGTTGCGCCCGAATCGGCTGCTTTCAGCGGCCCCAGTCAGCACCAAAGACTCGTTCCCTCTTCCATTCGTCTGCATTTGGTGCATGTTTTCCAGAATCAACATGATATTTCGGTTTGGGGAGCAGCTGAGCTCTTTGTAGGTTTCCATTTGGATTTTTCAGCCTAGCTTGTTTTTATTCTTATCTAGTCGTAACGTCCGCATTCTTCCCAGAAAACCAGCAACACCAAGGAAAGGCTCTCTTCGTTGAATCGAAGGATTGGAAAGAACGGGGAATCGACAACTTGCTGAGCCCACCAGGGCGGGAAAAGCTCAGCTCCCGAACGTCTCAAACTGGCTCTCCGGCGAGCTCTCCCCCTAACCCGGCGCTTTCAATACTGCGCCATGTCGAGCGGAGAGGCAGGGAAAACGAGGTCCCCAAGTGCCATGGCAGCTGACGCTTAAGGGTCCCGTCTTTTTGAGATACCCGCTGGTGGCGAATGTCGGTCTGCGAATGAAACGGGGTATTCACAATAAGCTGGTGTTTGTTGTGGCAACTGAATGGTGAGTTTGCAGTAGAACTTGCAAGCAGTCCTCATCCTCATTCAGCCCCCCCAGGACCCAAGATTGCTCTTGGGATCGGATTTTCAAACGCAGAACCAAGATGAAGTCCCGGCACTGTCAGGAAATTGATCCTTTTTCAGAATGGCCAAAAGGGAAGCAAGGAGAACGCCATGCTGAGCTAGCGTTTCTTAGCAGAAAATTCATAGTTTTCACACTGCCACTGGGTCCTAAGTTTGTGGAGGGGCCTGTTTTTGGTTGCCCCAGCCGTCCTGTGGCGCAAAAAAAAGACACCACGGAATTTTTGGAGGGCGCAGTTTGTCCGGAGGAAGACGGTTCATAATGCCGGGCTTTCGTTTGGGGGGCGTCAAAAGCCCTCAAAAGAAGTCGTGCTTGGAAGGCGCCTTCCGGGCGCCTTCCCTGGAGAGTGCGTATCGGCATCTTTCGGCCGTATTTTTTTTCAGCCTGGAAAGGAGTACCACTTGTTTTGTTGCAGGAGTGATTTTGTTGCCTGGAAGCTAGTGCCCATTTTGGTGTTGTTTTTGCTGTGCCTCTGCGGAGTTCATGGCACCCCAAGCTTGATCTAAGGTTATCAAAGTGGAAGCAGGTGCCCAAGCAAAGCGACTCGATATCCGGACCCGCCGCTCTCACGTGACAGGGCGATGCTCCGAGGCGGGATCCGACTGCCCCTTGTCTGGCCGACGGTCTCGGCGACGTAGAAAGGGGTGCCACCGAAAACAGGAGCCCCGATGTCCACAAGACGCCTCCAATCTGAGTCAACTTGGGGAGTTGTTACCACTAGATGACTGATAACCAGTATTTTTTCTTGAGTTGCTAGTGGGTGGTTCCCTTGATTACTATAATTGCTTGTGTCGGGCGGTGGTGAGGGGTTGCTTTTTTAGGGCGTGTTCCACCCCCCCTGTCTAATGTTTCTGTTCTGCGGGGAAGTTTGGCCAGGAGTGCCCTTGTTTGAGGAAAACAGCATCCCCTTGAGTTGCCGAATTGATTTCTCAAATTAGTATCGGTGTGATATCTAAAGTGGGCCGGGTTGGATTTTTAGGAGATCGCAGCAACCAGTGGGTGTTACTGTGTGTTGCCATAAGGTTGGTGGGCGCCCTTTACACGGACGAACAATCCAGCAAGAAAAGGTATCAATGGAACATCACTGGGCAAGCGAGAGCATGGCTAAATGCCCATACTGAGTCCATGGCTAGATTGCAAGGGAAAGAGAAATCAACCTAGACGCTGAATACCCACAATTGATTCATCCCGGAAAATGAATATGCATCTCCCCACAAACCAAGGAATGACGGTGGGCCGGTCTTTTGTTGGGTGTACCCTTTGCATGGTTGCTTGAAGGGAATTTGGGGTCATTCGAAAGCGGCGCCCCTTTGAGAAGGATGTGTCTTTTATTCTTGAGCCTACACACAGCTTCTTTGCTATCCCGCAACTGTTGGTGTTGCGCCCTTTGACAGGAACCCGACCGGGAGTCTGGAGGTTCCTAGTCACGATTCGCGCTTGGGGTGGGTTCAGAGTGGACGTACTTGTTTGCTGTTCTGACAATGCAGTTTTGTGGGAATCGCACTTGGTTGGGACGACCATTCTTAACCCTAAAAGAAACCACAAGGAGGGAAACAAGACGACAGATCTCCAAGGAAGGGGCGTAGATGCGGTTGATAACAGAGGTCAGTCGCCGTGGTTGTATACCTACACGGAGAAGCCGAGGGCCGAAATCGGCTCAAGGAATCTACAGAGGCTTTTGGAGGGTTCCACGGACAATGTATGGCTGCTCTTGAGATTTCTGGACACCCCAGTTGGGCACGGCCAAAATCCCGACGGCGATTTTAGGGAGCTCATGAGGGTAGGGTCTAAGACCTTTCTGGATCCTTACAGGAGTTTGGTATAACTTGAGCCCACTAGACCAGATTTGTGGTGGGGCCGCGCATTGAACTCTCTTAAACGCTAACCCATTGCTTCCACTTTACCACTGTAGTAGGTGTCAGGGGGAAAAGTGTATACATAATATTGGTCAAATCCTGACCCGGCAAGAACTCCTTGTATAGTGAGTTTCCCTCCGATAAACCCTGGTTACGTAGGCCCAGTGGATCCCAGTTTCCACTGCAGGTAACCAAGAGAGCCACCACTAGAATCTGCCTTTTGGTGGGAATCCGGATTACTTTTGTTGGTGACAACCCCCAGGAGGGATTCTACTTGGATCTGGGGTTCCCAGAACTGACAATTGAGCGCTCAATTCCCTTTGTACCCAATGGATCTCATTCGCCACTGCTAACCCTTCGCCGTTTTGCTGTTAGATGTCTACGATAACCAGCCATTGCTATAGTTTCTAGTGGGTGGTTCCCTTGATTGCGGGGAAATAGAAGCACGTGCTAGGGGCAGTTGAAAGAACCGAGGGCTCAAGAGGAAAGTGAGTTTCACAGCGCAGGACGGAGCCCGAGGAGGAGTGGAGTGACGGGCCCTGGAAGGGTTCCGAAAGGGTTCCCTGTGTTTTTGTTTGTTGTCGTTTTGTATTGGGGGTTACACTTTTTTTTTTTTATGTGGCCACTTCAAAGTGATGAAGAAACCCGTATGTGGGGTTGGTTACATCAAATTGTTTGTCAGCCAGGTGACCGCCAGGTGTAAGTATCTTCTTGTCAATCCCCACCTCACTTTCCGAGTCAAGACCCACTTTGGGCCAATTCCTTCAGATAAGCACATCCTTTTCAGTTTCCCTGCATTTCCCCAGGGTCTAAAAGCATGCCATGCTTGTTCCCGGCGGATTTTTGTCGGAGTGATTCCGCTAAAATAAGAGTGACCCGGATTCCCTACAACATGGGTCGCCACCGAATCATATTCAGTTTTTTTTTTTGTGGATCCAGAGTTTCCCTTTTAATTGAACATCATGCGTAACCCGAGTTTTCAACACAAACAACTTAAGCTTTTCAAATCATGTACATGCAGGGTCAACAATTTTGGACCATCTTGCCGTTTTTCCCTTTTACTTTCAGTTTGAACGTTGACCAACTTGCTGGTGCTTGGAATGAACCCACGAGCCCCTTGAAGAAAACCAGGAGTTGTTTATTTCCGGGGTCAGTTCCATGTCTCATTCCGTCGCACCAAGAGCCCTTCGGACACGCGAGGACGAGGGCAGCTTCGAGCCAGGCGCGCCGACACCCGAAGCCGCGACGGGCGCTGATCGCAGCGCGACCGCAGAGGCGATCGCAGCGCCGGAGGCGCGGCGGATCGCTGAAAGTCGGTTCGGGGGGTAAAACAAGCGGAACCCATGAGGCAGGTGCTTTGGTGGTTCCCAGCCATCCGGTTCCTTAGGTTTTTAGTTCTTTTTAGTTGGTTTTAGTGGTAGTGTCCTTTCACCCGCTGAAAGTCAAGCTTTTAGCAGGGGATCTGTGGACAGCCCAGTTTACTCGCTTTGGTAGGGTCTTTCCTTATTGCCAGCCTGGGAAGAAAACATATCATGATTTTATGGGTCAGATGTAGGATGCCCATATATATATATATATATATTATATTATATATATATATATATATTATATATATATATATATGAATATCAGGGCGAAGCAATGGTGCATATTAGGTGGGAAGTTAAGATAGGGATCCTTTCGTGGACGTACATTTTCCGAATTTTCGTGGAGATGTATGTCCACCAATCATTTTGGAGGGGTTGCCCCAATAGACTTTTTAGGCATATCAGCTAGTTTGCTTGCGACCTCACCTGAGGGCTAACAAAAACCGATTTACCCTATCATATGGGCGTGTCTTTTTAGGTGATCCCACAAATTGTTGGTTTGGGTCTACCTTTAAACCATCAAACAGTAGTCCCTCAAGAAAAGCAACAAGCCCATATATAGAGGTTCCTGTATTTCGGGGTCGCCAGGTTTTTGCCGCGGCTGTTTCTCCGGCTATGCCCTTGTAGGTGTTTTTTCTTCTTTTTTTCCAATTTGGTTCAGCAAAAAACAACTTTTGCAGGGTGGCAGATCAGCGTGGCCAGTCATTTGCGCAACGCACATGCCAGATCAAGCTCGGCCGGATGAACTTTGCCGGGAGATTTCCCTTGTCACCGGCATATGTTCGCTTGTTATGTTGTTTGCCGCAAGTTGGGCAATGGCTTCGCAGAGAGCTTTCCTCATCTTGCACAATTCTTGTTGCTTCTAGGGACAAAAAGTTCCTGGTTGCGGGAACATGGGTGCCGTGATGCGCTTTGAGGAGGCGGCTACCCGAAAAGAACGACAAAACCAAGAAACACCCACAGGAAGCCCAACAAATGCGCGCAGGACACCCGAAAGATGCGCGCAATGGCGAAACCTGAACCAAATATTGCTGCCTTCTGTTTGGTTTCCCTTCAACCTGTTTAAAGAGTGCTTTCTTTGCCTGCCAAAAGCACCACAGAGCAGGGCAAGGTATGGCTCATGTTCACCCGCTGTTAGCCTTTGGCCCCCGCCAACCCACGCAACTCGAACTCCAGGCTGTGTCCGAGTTGAATTTCGACGAGCCAGAGGTTCGCTCGCTGGCTCGCTCGCTCGCTCCGGGGGGGGGGGAAGCGGGGGCTATCACTTGGTGACGTGGCAACACAGTGCGTTTGATATACTCTGGATCCTCCAAAGTGCATATGGATGTGGCTCAAAATTAAACAGGAGGGGTTACGCAGGTGTTGGTCCATGTTTCCACCTACCAGGGTTCCATTTTGGCACCGGTTTTTTGAGCCACAGCCATATGTTTATGCCTTTCGGCGAACAACTGCTTTTTCAGACACACGTTTCACTTTTTGTATCTCCAGGCACGTTTCACTTTTTGACTCTGAGCCAAATCCATGCAGGCGAAACCGCGACCTTCCCCGACCAAACGGCGACTTTCCCCGACCATGTCCAGCCAAATTGAATTTGAAGCGGCACTTTTGCAGTGAACGAGTCTTTTTTTTCGACCTAAGGGACTGAACATTGTGTTTTGTCGGCACACAGCGCGAGAAAGGCACACCTGGAAGACTCAGGTATTGCTGCTCCCTTAAGGTACACAGGAAACTTAGTGATCCCTACGCAGTATTTGGTGAGGAATTTGGATGACATCGAATCGACCGACAGCTACGAGGTTGATCCTCTCACTGGGCAGACCACTCAGCGCCGTCCAAGCAACTTTCAGTTGCTCCGAGCATTGATCTCTCGCACAGTCCTTCGAAATCCACCTATTGGTGTGTTGCTACCCTGTTTGGTGTTCTTTTGTTTGGGGAGACTGCTCCTTTGGTTTTTTCCCTTTGGCTTTTTGTTTCTTGGAAAAAGGGCACCCTATTTGGAGACGCTCACGTCTCGTTTTTGCCCCCTCCCCCCCCCCTCCCGGAGGTCTTCGCGCGCTCCCGGGGCCTGCCGCCGCCTGTGGCGCCCAAAGTGCCGGGGGGTCTGGAGGAGTTCTCGCATGAGCGCCGTGCGGTGAGGAGATCCTTCTGAGCGAGGAGTCTCCTTCTGAGCCTTTACAAATGGTTGGTGATTCCCTACTGGCAATAAAGGGGTGACCCCATTTTCAAAGGGTCAGAAGGAGACTCCAGGTATAATCTGTGGGTATGGCCAAGGTTGGAAGGGAATGTGTCGAGCACATAGGTTCTCGGTGAGCCTGGTTCAAAATAAATGGCACTGGTTTATATAGATTGGTTTTGTTCCATTTGCCAGGGCCATCTATTTTTCCAAAAGGCCAGCTATGGTTACAATCACAGCCTGGTATGAACACTGTTTACCCAGAACCATGTAAAGAATGGAAAAGGCGTCGACCACCCACTTATGGTTGGGACCGTGCCTTACTAACCGTCATCTACCCGTCCCGAGTTTTGATCGTGGCTAATGTTGGCCCCATTCGCTTTAAACCAACCCCAAAGGAGTACAACAAAAGACACTCACAAATCCGCATGTGTTAGTCTACCTTGAACCGGCAATTTCTTCTTTACGCCAAGGTAGTCTTCAAGGGCAGCCCCGAATTGACCAGTGCCCAAACCACTCTAAGGGCCATGACCGAATGGAAAATCCCGGCTGCTTTCCTAAGTCGGCGAAAAGTCCATGTCTTATTTGCAGGATTTGCAGGTGTCTGCGTCATTTTTCGCTTGCCCCTCCAAAAAGGTGCAACTGTGTTTGGCCAGTAAACTCAGCTGAGCAGGATTCTTCGGGGGTTCCGAACCTAAGCTCTGGCTGGGTCGAAAACTCATGGGGCTTCTCAAAATTGGGCTCGATCCGATTCCCTTTTGGCGGAGGGAAGGCAACCTCTCATGGCACCATTCCTATTAGAAACACCCATTCGCCTGGCGGCCTGAGGTATGGAGAGTCTCGACCACTTGAGGCGCCCAAAACAAGCATTGAGGACACCCAAAACAGAGTCTACTTCCAATGTGCGGCTGGCACCCCGAACCATCGTATCGGGTATGGCAACCCTCCAAGTGTTCGTAGTTTACCATCGTTTTGCGGTCAGATGTGGTCCTTGCCATGTTCAGCGCAAGAACCGGCCCACACCATTTCGATGTTCACCATGTTCACCCGAGGCCCAGCCTGGACGACCCCTCCAATGACTTGGATGTTCCCTCGGAGCTGCCTGCGACGGCTCGAGTTGCGAGGGTTTGCTTCGATGCCACACGTGTTTGTTAGCGAGCTCGGAGATAGCCAGATCTAAAGTCAAACCCTAGATGGTGGAGTGGGCTAAGTGGCTATAGTAACCGTGTAAGCCCTTAATCGGAGACGACTAAACCATTCCTGCGTGGTCCTACCCGCTCGGCAGTCTTAGTGTTTGGTTATCGTTGCAACATGGTTTACCCAGCCAGGTCCTTTCAGGTGAGGGAAACACTTCTGTGTACATTGGCTATGTCTCAAGATTTGGGGTCCATGGGGGTTGAAAGACCCAAGTTCCCTCGGAAGTGTCTTCTCGGGCTTGAGCCTCACAAGACGGAAGCAGCCTGGTCTTGACTGGTCTTTGGGTTTGATCAGATATCCAACTTCCAAGACCGCCACACTTCAGGAAGCACCCAGTTTCAGGGGCCCTCATTTGTTGGAGACACGGTTGCGAATGGTCAAACTGCCCGGGCCATTGGATCCTTCAGCGTGAGAAGAAAGCTGACGTTTTTGACCCCCAACCGTGAAGGCGGTATCTGGGCAAATCGAGGCATCCTCACTGTCGCCCAATAAACCCCACCAATCGCCCTTCTGGGTGGCTTTCGAAGCCTTTTCCTGAGCACCGAACTCCGGCTGGGTGATCCAGAGCCATCGTTCCCCCCGCCCCCGGTAGCAGCGGAAGCTTTTCCCGCCAGAGGTGGAATGCACGCAGGACGCTGAGTTTCCTTGGAGCTGAGAATCTTTCTAAAGGCCTTTCACCCCGAAAGACCCGAATGAGCTCTTGGGGTGACATGTTCGGCTCGCCTTTGCTCCTCTTGCCATTTCGAACATTGCAGAGTCCAACTCCCCAGTAGCCAGTAGCCCAGCTTATTTTCAAGGCTAAGCCCATCCGTTCACAAACCCCCATATTTCCATATGGCTGTGGGTCAAACATAGGCACCCAAAATGAAACCCGGGTAAATGGAAGCAAGAACGAAAACCTGCGGTCCGATTCCTGGTGGTTTCATTTTGACCCATACCCATATTTTGCTCTTGCCATTTTGAACATGGCAGAGTTCAACTCCCCAGGAGCCCAGCTTCTCTTCAGTATGGAAGCAAACAACCGTTCACTTAAATCCTATTGCCATACTGTGGATGGACGAAATCCTGCACCACCAAACCCTAAAATGATATGATCCCCTGTAAATGCCAACAAACAGTAGTTTCCCACGGTTTCAAAGCGGTGCCTGAGAGGATGTCGTCCATCCCCAGCATTGAAGCCCATATTGAACGGACCCCCACAGGGCGCTTGCCCCCGGGCGCTTTCCCTTGGGGTCCCGCGAGGCGCCTTCTGCGCTGATCCACGCCCGGAGCCTCTTTGAGGCGCCCCGAGAAATCCGAAGCGCCCCGAAGAACCCGCGCCGTCGGGGCGGCTCTTTGGCGCCGCGCCATCATGCGCAGAGGGCGGGTTCGGCTCGTTGGTGGCGCAAGGCTTCAAATCTGGCCTTTCCAAAGTCGATGGCTTGTCCAGAGGTTCTCAGGTTGAAGTGTTTTCCCCTACTGTTTTTTTTTTTTTACAGAGAATCTATCACTGGGCATATGTTCATGTTGTCCAGGGACTTGAGCAAATGGAGGCTCTTGTTTCATCACGAAGCGGCAAGACATTTGTGACATCCACCATCATGCAGGGATGGGATTCCAATGAGGTTCGGTCAACATGTCCAGGGGGGACGAGAATACACATTGAATTGACTAAATCAGTGGTTTCAACCTGGCTTGCACGGTCCAGAAAGTGTGGCCTTTGCAATGGCACCCTTGCCACTCACTAAATCAAACAAGTTTCTTTTTTTGGTATAGATGGCCTCCTTTAAAACCGGTTTGGTGTGATTCTCCTTTCGGTCGGGTGCTTGGGGACATTTGTTCGTTCTGATTGAAAACAGCCCGAGGTCATGCAGCAAAGTGGTTTTCAGGGTGACCCTGGACTTCCTAGGGAATTCCCCATTTTCCCTCTGGCTTCGAGAAACTGTGGGACCATTTCCCCAGCAGACAACTCATTTCCCTGTGGGGAAGACTAGGTAAATCCTGCCCTTTAAGGTGGGGATACTCAAAGCCTCAATCCCCGAATGCAAGGGTTGAGGAACAGCAACGCCCAAAACCTCACGTGGACCAAACCTGTGGAGCTTCCTGCCTGGGGTGGGTGATGGATCTCCGGGACCAAACCTGTGCTGCCACTTTTCCATGGGGCAGTTTTGTTTAAACATGATTTAACATGGAAGTGCACAGACCCGCCCATTAAGGCACGATACATTGCGAGCACATAACGATTTGGATGGATCCACCTGATCCACCCGGGCCTCCACGATAAAGATGAACAGAGGTACTGTAAGGACCTAAAGCATTAGAAATGGGGTTGGGTACTTGAAACCCAACAAAATACTCATGATTCTGCTAGTAAACTATTTAGGTCCATACATTCAAAGCATTGGGCATCCAAATCTTGGAACCCAGCTTTCCCTACCCCCTTTCCCCCTATCCCCCTTTCCAACTTCACAACCTTTGTAATCACAACCCCGCAAAAAGGCCTAGAGAAAGCTTTCAAACGAATGGGTTCCAGTTTCGACTTTGGAGAGGTCTTTCTTTGGGGGGGTTCACCAAACGGGTCCGAAAAGGCGAAGCCACTTTCGCCCAACTCTCAAATCGTTTGAGAAAGAAGTGACTGCACCGCACCCTGGGTCATGCTTCGTCTCCAAACTTATTTTGTAAAGGCTTAAATATGAAACACACTTAGAACCCTTTTTTGTTTGTGTGCCCCGTTTGGTGGGCCAAGCTTGTGGGAAGGTGTTTCCCTTTGTATGACTGCGAATTTTAATAGAGAGCCACCTCGCAAGTGATTTGTGCACGTGAAACACAAACACCTAAACTTCGGTGCATTCTGCTTGGATGTTAGGACTTGAACTTTTTGCCAGCTCATGGACTCATGGGTTTTCCGTATTAAACCACTAAACGTTTTGGTCACTTTTAGCTGGGCTTCGCAGATTCGAGTAAATGATGTCCTTGTTCTTTGAGGTTCCTGGTTGACAAAGCGAAGCCCGAAGGCGCCCAACCATCAGGGCTACCCAACCATTTTCAAAGTCTGCATAGTCCGGTTGCAAGTAATTAGGTCCACCAAGTACGTTCTAAGGAGGTACTTGACTTCCTTTTAACACCCCAAAGACAATCCTCGCCGCTTTCGAAAGGATAAGCACTCACTGGGCGACGCGCTGTCGCTGGAGGCGGTGAGGCCCGCTTTGTGTTCTCAGGGCCAGGGCGGCCTGTGGGATTTGCAACAACTCAACGTGTGTCTCTTTGCTAGGGTATCCTTGTTTGTGGTTTGACACGGAAACTAAAAGGAACATGACTATGGGGTGTGCGATTCCTAAATAAGACACCCAATTGCAGCTAGTGCCTAAAAAATGCCCGGGATACCCCAAGCTTGCCCCTCTCCCCAAAGGAGTAAAATATCACCCATTGTCAAGTGGGGGGTGCCGGCTTTCTCCCTATGGTTCAAACAAGCGGGTGTGTTGCCAAATCAAAGGTGAGTTTCATGGTGAAGTTTGCCACGTGGGGCCCCATGGTTCCATATTTGGGGGCATCTTGGGAAGGCCACCCGTTTCGGGACATATTCTGCAGGGGAGCAGTCAAATCGTGATTGGCCCGCTTATTGATCACTGAGGGGTCCAAGCGGGTTGCTGTTTGCTTGATCAAGAGGGGCAAGGCCCCCACCTGCCCCAAAGCTGGTCCTCAATTCATGGTTTGAATCCCCAATGAAGGTAAGGTGGTCAAGAGGCAGGCATGGCTGATTCAGGTCCGCTCAGGTTTCTTGTTGTGCAGTCTTTCCTGTGACGAGACCGCCGTCACTTGTTGCCTTGGATGGTCTAGATGCTGTTCGCAGGGCTGGGATCCTGGCATGTGCTCTTGATGCGGCACACGCTCCTTGCGAATTCCCCACAACCCGAGGTGAAAACCACCGTCTGTCCCCATGTCCTCGTGGGGAGGCGTTTGTATTGTCCGTGGCTCAGATGAAGAAGGACCCTTCCGAGTGCACAGCTTTGTACTGGTAATATGGAGTTGTGTCACCAGACTCAGATGAGTTTGTGGCCAAACTACCAGCTGCTTTCCTGTTGTTGTGACAGGCGGGTTGAGTGAATCTGAGATGCTTAGAAGGCAACTGCACAGTGCATAAAGGGACACCTACCGGAACATGCTGTTTGTTTTGGCAGAAGCGGGAGCAAAAGCACTGGTTTCCAGTGAAGAAGATCGAACACTGTTTTGGCTGTTCACCTACCATCCCAAAACGGAGCACCCCAAACAGAACACCCCAAGCGGAGCGCATATCACAAAAATGGATTTATTGAATGAATCTCAATTGGATCCTGTGGGTATTGGGACACCACCCCCACCATCCTTGTACATGTTTTGCTCATCCACTTCTCCATGTTCACGTCTATTTCGCCACACACATCCCCACCCGAAATGTGATTAAAGATCGGCTCGGGGTTGTCTCGCACTTGTGGTAGGTGACGCAAGGTGTTTCTGGCTCAAGCTACAACTTGAACAACAATCGTTGAGGGTATCCTCTGCTTGTTTCCGCATCCATGTCATCCTCGCTCACCCCTACCCTGGTGTCAACTGATCCCAAAATTTGGGTGGTGGATGACTGCCTCCCTGCGGAGTTTCTGCAGATGGTCAATGGTGCCTTTGACTCTGCAGATGGCACAGGGCAATGTCAAGTGGTGAAGAAGCCAAACGGTCGCGAGATTTTGGCCAGAAACATTGACTTCCAGACGAAAGATGAGGTTTGCCAGGAAGTCTTTCGAAGGATCTCAAACCTTTGCGGCATCTCTGGAGCTATGCCCTTCAGCGAGTTTATGGTTTCAGAAGTGGTGGCCAGTGGCCAGGATGCTCATGTGGATCATGTGAATGTGGATGATGTGGGTGGACACCTCGGATTTCTTGACTTGACGCGGCAGAGCTATTCAGAATCAGAGCCGAGAAGAGTTGTCCCAACCATTTCCATCATCGTTTACTTCAATGCAGTTGGAGGCATCCGCTTCCCCTCCGCCACTGGCATGAAAACAATTTCAGCCAAGGCCGGGCGATTGGTCATGTTTCACAACTATGATGACGAGCATCGGCCGTCCCACAAGGCATCAGCAGAGCACTATGGAATCTATTTTGAGAACTTGCCGAGGAGAGTGCTCATCATGGGCGTGCTTGCGAACCACACCCCCCCGTTTCCAAGTTTGGAAAAGACCTCTGAGGCTCTAGTCTACTGTGCCGGCACCCGACGCGATCCCTTGAGGCACGACAATGCTTCCTACGATGCCTACAAGACTCCGGAGCAGATCGCGGAGCGCATCCGGGCTGATCTGGAGGAAGAGCAACAGCTTCTTCAATGGAGGCAGCGACAGCCCAAGAGAGAGCCGCCCAAACCAGATTTGATCCTGAGCCTTCAGCTACTGCTCAAAGACAGTGGTCTTTGCGAAGTTGAAGGCCGCAACATGGCCGGCGACTTGTTATCCAAGGTGGATGCGAATCCGCGAATGATGGTGAAAGAGTTAAGGCGCCACATCCAGAGGGAAGCGGACCCCAACAGTGTCCACAACGTCATTTTGTGTCTGCAGAACGGGCAGCTGCTGACTGAGGAGCATGATGACTCAGTGCTTGAACAGTGGTCCGTTGCAAGGTCGGGTCAATACGGCCTGCCAGACACGACAACTGAAAAGCTTGTTGCGGGTCCTTGATGAGTTGAGTGACTATCTTTTGCTGACCGAATCCTCGTTCAGGCGACCAGCAACTGTTGTTTCTGCCATGTGTACAGATTCATGTCTTCTCTTTGTATCCCCCGCGAACTGCAAGGTTGTGTACAGAAGCTGACCTTGGCAAAATTGCAATAAGCTCAGGTGATATCCCCAACAGCATGCGGTGCTCTTTTTAGTGCTCGCACCCTCGCACAACCTCGTGGAACCCTTGTGGAACCCTGGTGGAACCCTCGTGGAACCTTACCTCAGGGCCGCCCCGGACCACCCCGGAGCCTATCTGGGCTGAGACTTGAAAGCTTTCAGCTGTTGGGGAAAAAGAAGGCGTGGTTCTTTCGGTTTTCCATTAACACCAATCCAAAGCGCCTCCCTCAAAAAGCCACACTTGAGTGCTAGTAGGGATCCTTTGGTGTACACGAATTGGACTTCATGTACACCAACCATATTTGAGGTGGTTTTTCAGAAAGTTTCAGCCATATACTGTAAGTATATGTTGACGAATGCTGTCCGGGGGTTGTCCGGAGGTTTGTCCGGGGGCTTGTCGGGGTTTTAAGCCCGTTTGGACCCAAAATATGAAAACAGGTGTTTATGCAGAACCGCCTCTGTCAAAGTATATGCGCAATAGCCATTGGATGGATCCGTCAGGAAGCTCATGGCCGGCCGGCGCTTGCAGACCGCCTTGCGCCAGCTGCCGACGAACCCGACCCGGAGCCCAGAGGCAGGTTTCGGTTTGCCGCTCCCGACAGGTTCCATCACCTCCTGGGTCCTCCGAAAAGTGTTTCGTTTTAGGGTACGCTAAAATATGGTACACCGCAAGATGTTGTCGTTGTTGTTTTTAGGGTACACTAAATATGGCTTCCACAATCTGACATGACTTTTAGCGTAGCCCAGGAGTGGGCCAACCGCTGGGCGTTCGTTAGTCTAGGTTGTAAGCTACTAGCCGGGTCTAGCTCCATTTGGGAGGCCTATAACTATATAGGGCGTAGCCTGGGTTACTAGCCTTTGATTAGCCTGGCCAATTACCCGAGTAAGCAATAGATTTGGGCAATCCCCCGCACCTTTTGTATGTTAGTTTTCCTTTTTATGTTGTTTGTTTTGGGGTTAGGTGGCCTTTTTTGGTGGGTGTCCCTTGCACGACCATTGGTCTTTGGTTTTTGGATGCTTCCCGTTTAAAACCAACCAACCAACTGAGGGTGTCCTTTTTCCTCGCAGGCCACAAGAGATCTCGGAATAAAATCGCGATATGAGGGAATTGGTTGCCACCGATTTCACCCCATGATCTACGTCGTAGGTTGGTGAACAATCGTTCTGCAATCTGTATGGAAGGGTGGGGCGTATCCCCAATCAAAGGAGCCTTGCCTTGCCCATACTTGCACGTTGCCTTTGTGCAGTAAGCATTTGATTCATATTACTACAGTATAGGGAATCCACGCCTCCTCGGGCAGATGAAAACGGATTATAGCAGGCCTCACAGGGGCTTGCTACCTTATGCCCTGGATGTTCCAGCATTTACAAACTCACTTTGGACAATCCCACTGGTAAGCTACCATAGCGCATTCCGCCCATCTGGGTTTGTCTTTCTTTGGGGTACCCCCAAAGTTGTGGCGCTCCTTTTGGTCTCCCTTTGAAAAAAACACCAAACAGAGGTACCTTGAAGAAAGGATACACCCATATACTTCCCCGGTTTCTTGTTTTAGACCTGACGTTTGGCCCCCTACCCCGCAGCGCGGGGCGATGGCTTGCATCGGAGACCGCTGGTTCCGACCAGCGAAGTTTGCGAAGACAAGCAACCCCACAGTGGCTTGCTGCTTGCGGCTGAATCTTCGCTGGCGTAAGGACACTTTCTTCATTCCTGTGGGTGGTTAAGGGCAGTCTCCGACTGACCCTCTACAAGAACCAAGGGTTCAAATTCTGAAACCACCAAGCCAAACCATCAATTAGGGGATACCGAATTGCCTACAAAGCTGAATGGATTCCTGTGTTTTCTGAGATCCCTCAAGAAAGCTGAGCGACCTTGAGCTCCCAGCCCTTAGGTTTTGCCTAGTTTGGGTTGTACCTTGTGAGTTTTCAAGACCACTTCACAGACAATCAGAGGAAAGCCGAGTTCAAGCAACGTCACCTCAATGTGGAGCAACGCTTTGAGGCTCTCGGGAGTTCTGGCGAGCTCACTTGGGTTCTCTCTGCGAGCGCAAGGGGAGAGATGTTGTCTCGCGCGCGAAGGTCAAGGGTGGCTTTCGGCTTTCCAGGAAGCTTCTACAGGGGTAGTTGGGTACACCATCGCGGAATCTCACCCCAGGCAATTTTTTGGAAACCCGCATTTTTGGGTTTGATGCCCCGTGTCGCCAGTATTTGCTTTTCTGCAGTCAAATCGATACACCTCAGAATCACACCAGTTCCTTGCGGTGTACAATCCCTCGTTCAGTCCCGCTAAAAACGCAACGGAGGTCAAAGGCGAGTCAGGCGAGTCAGGCCTCGCTGCTGCGGCTGCGGTGTCTCGTCCACCTGCGCAAGTACAAGGAGGCGGAGGAGGACGGTGTGTCCGGAATCACCGAGTCTGGAGCTTGTGCGGCTGTGGTCGAAACCAACGGGATCCCATTTTAGAACCTATTTTAGTGGGGATTGGGATGTTTACTGGGGCTAACCGGGATTTTGACCCATGGCCGTGTGAATGTTTTGTTTAGGTGTACCCCTTTGTTTTTTTGTTTGGGGGGGGGTGATGGGAAAGCACCAGAATTTTCGGGAAGCCCCAGATTTTGACATCTAAACCATGTTACGTTTTAGGGTGGACCGAATGTGACGCAGAATCTGAGGATGTTTGTGGTCTGCACCAGAGTTGGGCCTTTTCTAATCGTCCTGCAGAGAGCCGAAAGAGCCCGCTTCCTTGTTTCTCCCGGGGAGCGAGTTCAGTATTTGTATCAGTAAACTGTGGTGTACTGTGGTAGTACGAGCAAGTGGCAGAATGACTTGTGGGAAGTCAGATGTGCTGCTATCTCTGAGTTTTTGTTTGCATGGCGCCGGTCTTGAGTGGCAAACCGCCAAAAGCATGCGAGGTTCTGGTCAAACATGTCATTGGTCCAAAGCCAAACTTTTCAGTCTCGGCACTTGTTAGTGCTTCTTTGCCGAGTGTTTGTTGTGTCCGGCTGTCACAATCCTGGGTTTTAGCTCTGGGAAAGACCAGGGGACAGGGGTGACTCACCAAAGAAGAATCGAGACTGGGGACAAGCAAGTTGTACGATGGCCGGTACAGGATCCTACTGCGGCTTGTGTCACACCCTGGTCACAGAGGAAATCACCACGACATGGTTGGCACCGAGTTACGATTCACAAGGTGAGTGCACTTGGGTTGGGAGGGGAGCATTGAGCCTGGGCCAACGTCTTGAACGAACCAATCTCTCTGTGCTCATTTCCCCCTGCTTTCATTCGGATCTTTTAAATTTTAAGCATCGAGCCACCGCGGAGTTCAAGGACAGCGAAGGGAGAGGGGCCCCTGGCTATTTTGCGAAGGGGAAAGCAGATGCGCACGTTTTTTTTTTTTTTTTTAAATCATGCCAGAACATAGCCGTTTGACCTTGTGAGCCTCTTTTGGATCAACGAGCTTCACGACACCCCTCCAGGGGTTGTAAACCTGTGCGGGGATCGAGGGAATTTTGTGAAAAGGCTGTTTCAAAGTTGATTTGCATGGAACAGTAGGCTGATGCTAGAGCCAAGGAGCCAAAGAATGACTCACTCCCTGAGTTCCTGGACTCTAAACTTTTGGGGAAGACCATTTTGGAGGTAAGATCAATGTTTGTCTAGTGCACAGAGGCGGCACTCCAAAAAGTTCAGACCTTTTTTGGCCCATCAGGAAGTGAGATGACTAGAGTCACTATCCCCATTTTGGGGAGCCAAGGAGCAACAATTTTGACAATTAACGTTACAAACTTGGGGCCCCCCAAATGGACAAGGCAACGGTTGCCCGACGCAGGAAGCCTTGGGCTTGCCGGAGAATTTCGAGGCGGAAGTTGGAAGTCCAGACGGCTGAATCCTCTGCCCCCACCTTGGTGACGCTGGGGTCTCCATGTGCTAGGTCCCCCAGTAGTGCCCTTTTACCCTTTTTTGAGGGAGGGTTCCCTTACTGAAATAGACTACAGAAAAAGGCTTACCCTTATTCTAACCTCTACTGGAGGACCTAGTGTTTTTCCTTTTGTTGGCAATAAACGTCAGCTTTTTTGCCCCTTGTGGTGAGATTCCCTAGAGGTGATATTTTTTAGGTTGGACATGTGGGGAGCCCTGTGCTCTGTCTTGTGTTGGTCGTACCATGCAGTTTCACTGATTCATGAAAGGAGGTCCACACAATTGTTCGAGCAATCCTCTAGATGGGGGAACATCACCCCAGTTTTTCCCTGGTTACAACCTATGGTTCTGACCTTACCCCAGTAACCCCCCCCCATTCATTTACTTTACTCCAGATACAAATTTTAGTTCTCGGGGGTCAAGAAAATGATGGTTCCTCAGTTAAATCACATCACCGGATTGTTTTGTGTTGAGCCAGGTCTCCGCCATGAGACGCCTCCCCGCGGTTTTGGATGCGAACTTACCTGACGTTGACCGGCGAAATGGCGACAGGCAGAGCTCCTGGGCGCTCAGTTGCCCTGGCTCCGGCGCTATGAGAGGCGCCCCAGCTTGCCCGGGGCCTCATCTTTGTTTTCGGGTCTGGTGAAGTCCCTTCTGTTTCTCCTTAAGAAACATATGTTTATTTCCCCCCCATTGTTTCTTTTGTTTGACTCTATCACTGCCAGATGTGTCTTTTTAGCAATTGGAAGCTTTTTGAGACTGTCTGGGCAAGTTGTAACGACGTCACGTTGATTTTGCGAGCTTTCGACCAAACATGGCTGCTAGCAGATGCAGACTGTCCGCCATCGAAACATGGCCATCTACAAGTGAACTTCAAGGTCTTCAGAATCAATCTGGGCCCGAAATGGTTCTTGGAGAATCTTGGAGAAATGGTTTGTGTTTGACCCCTACTTGGATGGATGGTATTTGTTTCGACCCCTACTTGGAGACATGGTTTGTTTTGACCACTACTTGGCAAATTGGATGGATGGTTTTTGTTTTGACCAGTTCAGATCGTTTTGTGCGTTTTCCGGTGGATTGCAGCCACCCAGGAATTTATCGAGCCATTTGATATCCTGGAAGCCTCTGAGCATTATTTATCACCAGCGCATCTCGGGATGCATCAGGCTTGAAGACCAAGATTAAGGTGGCTTGTTGAAGAGATTCACTTGGCTGTGAGCTTCAACAGGATTCCTGAAGCATGTTCGGGGGAGTAAAACCCGTTCAACCCTTCATGGTTCTGCGCCAAACGGCCCCAGCTAAGCTTCACGCCCTTAAAACTTCTTCATGTTGATATGAACAGGAATAGAAGATCTTCCTCCCTAGTTCCTGGACTTTATTTCTTTGAGAAGACCATTTCAGCGGTACACAAAAGGAGAACCACCATAGTCCACAGGAGGTTGCCTCCGGCTCGGTTCGGACAGAGTGTCCCACATTCTATGGTCCATTTGGGAGAGTTGGACAGGAGGGAACTGGCTAAGTTTCAGCCACAAAACGGGGACTGAACTTCCCCTGTGTTCCCGAGGCCTGTGTCAACGGGCGCCACGGACGCGCAGAGGGAGGAGCGAGAAGAGCGGGAGAATCAGATCCAGAGCGGGAAGTATCAGACGATGCTCCGACTGCAGGCGCGGCCGGCGCGGCTGCCCGCCCGACGTTCTCTTCGAACAGCTGGAAGCTTTCAGGGTTCACAGGCCCAGGTTTTTGGTTATTAAAGGGAAACATGGGGAAACAGTTCCCCCCAAAAAAGCTGGATTGTTGTGAACTGTTTCCCCAACTGCTTTTTCCAGGCTCAGCGAAAGAATTGCCTAGACAAGCTGGAGCAGAGGTTTCTGAAGAGTGCAGAAGGTCTGATGGAGCGGTTGGATAGGAAGGGTTTCTTGAAAGCAGTTGCTGGGCTGGGCCCCTGTTGGTATGGAACGGTTGCTGGGAGAAGAGTTTCAATGGTTGCTGTTGGGGATGCCGGTTCCGGATTGATCAACCTCATGGAGTACGAATGAGTACCAAGGAGTGTTTCCCCAGAAAGTAGTGCGGGTCCCCTCTAAACTGGGACGATTTGGCTCTGGCCCTCTAAATTATCATCCCGATCCCCCCGAATCTCTGCGCGACAGGCTTAGTTCGAGTGCGGTACAAGCTGGAAAGCAGCAATTGTTTGTGTGTTTGTGCGGGCTGTAGAAGGACGTTCCACAATGTCAACTGTAGATTATTTTGGAGGAACATGCTACTCAGGGTGGAGAATCCACTTTGGCGCATTTACTCCTTTTTGGTCAACCCTGGATTGGCAAAGCCTGGCTAGTCTTAAGTTACATCACCCCATGTGCTGGTAGATACCCCCCCGCCCCCCCAAAACCCCACCCCGTTCAGCCCCCGCACAATCTCCTTGTCTTCCCTTGCTGAGGTTTGCGGACCCCAGACAATCCAAGTACTCACTTCATGAGTCGGCTGTGGCTCAAAAAACTGGAATTCCAAAATGGGTTGCCCTGGTAAGTGGAAACATGGACCAACATTCCTGCGGTTTGCCCCTGCTGTTTAATTTTGAGCCACATCCAGTCCTTGGACTAGGGGAAGTCCATGTTGGTAACCCCCATGTTGCAACTTGGCGGCTTCGGGTTCCTTAGCTCTTTGAGGCTTTTTGGCTTGGATCAGCGGGGGGTTTCTTTCCAGGTCCACAAAGGAAAACTAGCAGAGACGCACCCGATGCTGGGCCAGCTTTTTGCTTTGGGGGTTTTTGGAGGTGGGGGTGTTCCTTTGGCCATTTCACCGACGAGAAGTTAAACTTTTGGCAGGGGATCTGAGGATAGGCCACGTTGTTTGACCCGGAGAGTTCGGATAAGCCAGGCTCTGGCGCGCCGACCCTGCCGGGGCACCCGGATAGGTCCTCTCGACTTTCTCGGCCACTCCTTTTCCATTTACCGGGGCCATCTAGTTTTCTAAAAGGACAACTATGGGTGTGCGTCTCGTTTTGAAAGTGCCCTTTCTGGATCGCCTTTGAAGGCAAACCAACAAAACACCACTTGTTTTTTTTGGAGGTTTCAATTTGAGACACAGGGACTGAACCCTAGGACAAGCACCAGTTTTCATGGGGCCTCATCCCATGCGACTTGGACTTCCATCAGTGTGACCCATACCCTGTGGCTTCCTTCCTTGAGATCCCTTTCGGTTTTTCATTCTCACCCCCACACCACCCCACACCACCCCACCCCGCCCCACCCCACCCAGTTCAGGGAGAACCAGCAGCCAATGCACCAGAGGACCCCCCCCCTCCCCCTCACAAGGCCCAGAGCCGGAGCTGATGCTGCAACTGCTGCAGGCGCGGGCGAGCTCCCGAGCTCCCGAGCTCCCGAGCTCCCGAGCTCCCGAGCTCCCGAGCTCCCGAGCTCCCGAGCTCCCGAGCTCCCGAGCTCCCGAGCTCCCGAGCTCCCGAGCTCTGGGCCAATGGGACGGTCTCTTTTTGATATTATCTTGTAAACAAGGCACATCTTCACAAGGATAGTTTCATTTATGTTTTTTCTTGGATTTTTGTTTGTTACACCACTGCAGAGACCGTAGGATTGGGAAAAGCCGGGGTTGGAATCTTATGCTGCAACTAGGGCGGACCCGGAAAAACACATGAGTCGGGGCCTTTGTTCTCACTGAGCTCCGGCCATTTTTGGTTGAGTCCCTTTTTCTTCGAAGTTTTTGCTGGCAAAGGACATCGAAAGGGAACTGCCGGCAATTGGTGCCCCCTTTCAAGCAAACGACGCACAGCCCAAGCGGCAAACAATAAGCTTTGGCCAATCCACTTGGAGATCTCAGGAAGTGAGTTGGGGGTGATGTTTGAAGGGAGCCCACACCTACAAACGGGCTGTTTTGATTCTTTTTGGGTCTCCCTTCGGCGTTTCTTCGGCGTTTCGGTTGTCTTTTCTCACGCAAACCGTCAAGCCTCCCACAACAATGAGCTTTGACCAGTCTCCTCAGCTCATTGGTTCCTTGAAGCAGCAGGCCCAGAGTCTATTCAAAGCCTTTCTGGTGCACGTGTGGGCCCGAACCCGCCGCGAATCCGCCAACGCCGCCAGCGCCGCCACGCCAAGCCCGCCGCGAGGTGCTGTCGAACGTGTCCTTGGCCGCGGGCCACGGGCGTATCGGCGCCGAAGAGATCCATCGGAGTCTGACGGATGAAGCAGGCGACGGGGCGCCAAGGGACCCGGAAAGGGCAGTGCTGTCATTGCCGGGGTCTTGTAAGGCAACCCAGGGTGTCTTAGGTGTTCCACCCAGTGAAGGATCCACTTTGAAATGGGTCACCCCCTTTCAAGTACAAGTTGCAGTGAACAGAAGAGACCCCGCGAAAAGGACGCCGGCCAGTGCGGTGTGTCATGGTTTCCTGTTTTTGGGTGGCTTGGTTTTGAAGGAAAACCGAACACCCAGAGAATCAACCAACCAAAGGAACCACTTCCGAGTGCCGGCAGCTGAAACAGGATGCCTTGGCAAAGGTTTAGGTCCCTTCCCCAATTCTGATTTTGGGTATTCGTAGGGATTCGGAACCCAAACCATTGCATTCGGTTTCCCTTTAAAACCATTCCCTTACACGGGTACTCTCAAGAAACACCGAAAAAAACCATTTGTTTCTGTGATTCTATCACTAGAATCCCCTTGAAAGCGATCAAGTTGTTATGGGAATCAACCAATTTGAGTTTGTCTCAAAGGGGCGTACAATCCGCCCCCTGGTGAAAGACGAAATTCCATGTTCTCCTTTGAGGGAAAACTAGATGAATGGAATCCGGGGACCCTACCGCCCTCTCTCCCCCTTAAGGAGGGGGTGGCCCTCATTTGAGCCTGTGCCAGGCGTGGACAAGCGACAGCTCTGGTCGCTGCTAGGCCAGGGCATTCCTGGCAGAATGGCAGGAAACGTGTTGCTTTTGTAATGTGAAGTCAGGTTTGAAACAAAAGAAAAGGTAACGAAATGGGCCCATGCCTTTTTTCAGGGTTTCATCTCTTGAACCCTTTGGCTTTACTTCGCAACCAATCTGTATCTTCAGAGCGCCATGTCCAACATGGAAAAATTGCGGGTTGCAATAGGCGAATGAAAGTCACAAACGGCTTGGAGGTTTGGCCCGCTTGACTCTAGGGCCTAGGGGGCTCAAATAGAAGAAAGCCAAGGGGAACCAACATTCAAACTGAGAAAGGAAGATGATGTTTTTTTTGACCTGTAGCAGTAAGTTCTGGGATCCACTTGGTTGGCGTTTTCCAGAGGTGATGTGTTGTAGTTGCCAGGTCTCAGAATGAGTTGGGTCGTCATTTGCTCGCTTGCTGATACCGGAGGAGAAACACATGGCCATGATTTTTCAGAGTTGAAATCACCTCAAAAGTGGCTGGTGGGGCTCAGCATTGATGTTGGCACCTACTAAAATTCCACATGGCAAAGCTTCACTGAGTGGATGTTCTTGGACCGGGAAGCCTCAAGTCATGCGTGGCGCTGGGCATGTGGAATGAAGGCACACTTATATATATATATATGTACATATGTGTATATATATATATAAATACATATGTATACATACATATATATATATATATATGTATACACAAGAACATATTTACACACACACACACAGACACACCCGCACACATGCTACACCACGAGTGCTCCTAAAGTTCAGAGAGAATCTGACAGCAGCTCGAGCACGGCAGGGCCTCAAGGATGAGAAGCGGAAAGCGGGGGGAGAAGTGGTGGGTGGTCCTTTTGGGCACCAGCAAACTCACGCCAAGATTGCCCCCGCCAGCCAGCGGATTCACTTCGACCACCTTTTTCGAGACCTCTTGGGCGGGAAACAGTCTCCAGCACCGATGGCTTACTATGGAGGGTGTGGACGAGGGATTGTGACGTCCGGTTTGGAGGCTGTTCCGCATTTAGGCCCATAGCCACTTGGCTGTCTTTGTGAAAGTCTTCCATTCGCCTAGCGGCCTAGCGACACCGTTTTCTTGATGTTTAACCCAAGTCTGACCTTCCCAGCTATGGGTTCGCACTTCCAGTGGCCTCCTTTGTTTCTCACCCTTTTGGTGGCACTTGATGGTTTAGGGCTGGTGTCGGTTTGGTTTACGGCTGATAGGGTGTTTGCGGTTTGGTTTAGGGTTGGTTTAGGGCGAGTTTTTCCGACCCGCCAGGTCGGCACCACCTGGCCTGGGGCAATCGCGGGGCGGCGTTGGACGCCTTCGCCAAAGCTCGGGATCTCCCCGGCGAGGCGCGACCGGGGATGGGGTTTCAACATGTTGGGTTGCCGGGGGGGTTTTGCCCAGACCGAATGACGGTCACTCTTGGACGTGGGTTGGATATTGTGCAAATCCTATGCGAATAGCAGTGAATCGTGGCTTCGGTGGGATCACAGAAAAGTCTGCAAATGTCCAACCTCGCGCATTCGAATCTGAGATTCGAATATGCGGTGCTGGCAGGTTGCTCGAAAAGACTTTCAGAATGCCACCAGCTGCGCAGGCCGGGCTGCCTTGTATATGAAGCATGAGCTGCGCTGATAACTTGCTGGCAGAACTTCCGTTCCGCTCGGTGCTGAGAGCGCAGCGGAGACAAAGACCAGCATTTGGGTTGAAGGTAGTTCCTTCAAACGCCAGAAGACCGCAAGCCCCTTAGACGCCAGGTGCCAAAACCACCTGCGGCAAAGTGGCGGCGTGTCAGATAAGCAAATGGGACTGCGCAGGCGTGTAGAGTGCGCAAATAGCGGAGAAGTCACATGGCGTGTGGGGCTGGGGATCAACTAGTTTGACCCCCAGGTTGGCCTTGACATGCTGGAAACATGGACCCGTGTGTTCTTTCCATACCCCCACCCGTTCCCTCCCCCCGCCCTCGGCAGCTGCGAACAAGGTGAGGATCTGCATGCTCGGGGCAGCATGAAAGTCCGGGCAAACCCCCCCGTCAATCCAACATGTTGGCTGGTTGGTTGTTTGGTTAGCTGTTCGGACAGTCGGTTGGTCCGTTGGTCGGTGATTGCCACGGGAGGGTCACTGGATAGATATCTTTAGTTGCCCTGGGAGCGCCTTGGAGCCAGCTTCAGAGGCGACGACTGTGGCGGGCTCAGACTT